GCTTTGGCTTCCTCCTCCTCTCTGATCTCTCAGGATTTTCTGACTCTGAGCTTTTATTATTTATACCAGTTAAGAACTCCATTTACACGCACACACACTCATGCGTACACGCATTCTCTAATAAAATCTAAATATGCACATTTATATATTTTAATCTGTTAGAAAAAATGTCTAAGGAATTCTTTCCAACTTGAATACTTAAATCAGATTTGTGTTAGTATATTCCTCCATATGGGATTTTTAAAACTAGAATCTTCCCTCGATTGAAATAGTTAAATGAAACAGTTAACCTGCCATCACCATTATTACCTGTAAAGACTGATAACCTGTACCCCACAAGAAACTGCTCGAAGCCTTCTCTGAATAGTGTGGCTCAGTGAAGTAGCTGTCAGCACAGCTCCTCTACCTGCACCTAGAAGTAGTTGAGCACCTGTCAGTGGTGTGCCCACTGAGGCCCCAAGAGGAAGATGGGAGTTTGCCAATATACCTTTGACTGTAGAAAGCAGTGGCCCTGGGTGGCCTCTTAATTAACCAACCTTCTGCATCCTCGATCACTGACAGGCACTCTTCTACCAGGCGTGTCGCAGCACACCTGGAGCCTGTCCCCCATGTGACTCACAGAAACTGGTGGTCACCACCTCATGCCTGCATCTGGGCCAAGTGAGGCAGAGAGACCAGCCAACTGAAACTACTTAATGAACTGTAGCCCGTCTGGTAGTGAGGGCCCCCAAACTCTGCCGTCAAAATACTGAGATATGTGGCCCTGAAGTCAGTGTGGCCTTGTTGGAGGAAGTATGTCACTGTGGAGGCAGGCTTTGAGGTTTCATATATACTCAAGCCTGGCCCGGTTTTCCGGACCACTTCCTGTTGCCTGCATCTCAACATGTAGTAGCTCCTTCTCCAGTACCATGTCTGCCTACATACTGCCATGCTCTCTCTCCCTGCCATGAAGATAAAGGACTGAGCCTCTGAAACTATAAGCCACTAGCTCAATTTAAATGTTTTCCTCTTTAAGAGTTGTTGTGGTCTTGGTGTCTCTTCACAGTTTTGGAGGCTGTTGGTCCAGCCTGGCCTCGAACTCACAGAGATCCGCCTGCCTCTGCCTCCCGAGTGCTGGGATTAAAGGCGTGCGCCACCAACGCCCGGCTACTTGCAATTCTTTTTTTTTTTTTTTTTTTTTGGGTACTTGCAATTCTTTAGACTCATTATCCACAAAACCCAAAACATATCAAGAATTCTTAAATTTTTAGGATTATTAAATGTCAGTTTACAGGCATAGACTTTTAATATTTAAGCCAGTTCACATGGATAAAGCTATAACTGCCACCTTTTTAAAGAATTTATAATTATTTACTTGGAAACATCTAAGAAAAACTATTAAATTGATAAAAATATTGAATAAGGTATATTAATACAAAACAAATGCATGAAAGTCGAGAGCTTTAGTATATATCAGAAATAACCATTTCAATCTTATATTGATGGTACATTCCTATAGCTTTAGCCCTTTAGAGACCAAGGCAGAAGAATTCTGAGTTCAAGGCCAACTGTGGCTACATAGCCAGACTATCTGAAGAAATTGTTAAATTAAAAAAAAAACATAGTCAGAGATGACTGAATAGACTTCTATATTACCAGGTTGGAAAAATCGATATTGTGAGATTATCTTAACACCCAAAATTAAAAATATAGTGTATATCCTATTATCTGAGTAAACAGACTTCTAACGAAAACATCAGAGAAGATAAAGGTCACTTCATCCTGAGTAAGTGATAAGGATCATACAGGTTTAAATATATACTCAACAAATACAGGTATGATCAGTTTTATAAGAGACCTGAAAGACTACCAAAAAATTCTTAGAGCTAATAAACATGTTCAATAAGGTGTCAGGATACAACAGTAATACACAAGATGCAGTAGCCTGTCAACATTCCAATGAATCATGCAGAAAAAGAAATCAGGGAAATAATCCCATTCTGTGTTCATTGCTACTGTATTCACTATAGCTAGAAATGGAATCAACATAGATGTCCATCAATTGAACAATTAATAAAGAAAATGTGGTACATATACAATATAAAATATTACTCAGCAATAAAATATTAAAAAAAGGGACTTACAGGCAAACAAGTAGAGCTAAGAAAAAATTATATCAGTGATATCGCTCAAACCCACAAAACAATGGCGTATCTAGGTCCTAGTGATGACTTTTTGTGTTGTATTTTTAACTTGAAATGCATGTGGAAATTGGGTAATTGGAAACAAGATGTTGGGGCAGATGCATCAAAAGAGTGGAGATGGTAAAATATGGGCAAGATGAAAATGGAAAACACGAATACTGGGTGGAGTTGAGCTGGAGAGGTGGCTGTGCAGCTCACAACCCTCCATAACTCCAGTGTCAAGGGATCGGATCCCATCAGTTTCAAGGGATCTGATCTCTCCATGGGCACTCCATGCATGCATGCAAACAAACATAAACTATCTTTTAAAGAAATGAATGCCAAGATTGGAAAGATTAAAAATGAAAGGGAGTGAGGGATGGGGTGATGGGGTAGTATGCAGCTAAACCGAAGTAAATAATATGTGGGAAAACTATATGATCCTGCACCGCAAACAAAAAACTAAAATCAGAGGGGATACTAATGCACGAGTGGCATGAAATAACAGGAGTAATACCCTGGGCTGAAGGTGTAGATGGGACTGGGCAAGAGACAGCAGGAAGAGAAGGGGCTGAGACTGGATTAACCTATACTAAGGGTATATGAAGAAGCCTTACAGATACCTCCTAGTCTGTAAGCTAAGTTTTAAAACTTCTGACATGAGTGGGAGAGGACCGGTGGGTAATCGATAATAGCTGTTAATGAAGAACCACTCCTTTGGGGACATGGCTGCTTATATGTTGCCCATGCCTAGGTTGATGGCCCCATACTCATGCACATATGGAGAGCACCAGTTGAACTACAGGTTGTCAAAAACAAATTAGAGAAAATGAAGTTGAGAGGAAATAGATTGAGGGTCACAGAGGGGAGATGGAAGGGGGAGAAGGTGTTAGACATAGCGTGTCTACATATAGACATGGAGAGAGGGAGCCAGGATGAATATGACAGACAGATATTGTATACAAATCTAAGGCAGAAATGTTACAGCATGCCTGAAAGTGAAAGTAGAGATCCTGAAGTTCCTGAACACAAAATTACAGATTGATGGGAATAGAGAAACACCAGGGAAAATGAGCAAGATGACAAACTATTATAACGACAAACAGTGCCTATAAAGGGTCTGGGAGGGCTCCAACAAGAGAGCAATGGGACAGAGTTCTGACCATCTCCTGTCTCCTCCTCTGGGGTAGGGTAAGTCCCAGAGTAAGTACAGCCTTTCTTAAAGGGGACAGTCCCTGTTTCCCAGATCAGCCCCTATTCCTCTGACCCTCCTTCATTGACATTCTTAGCTTTGGGGTTGCTGGAAGCTGATGATCTGCTAAGAACACAATCACGGGGTATTATGTAATAGTCACCAGGATGTGAGCTATGAGACTGAGTTTCAGGGACCCCTGGGTCCTCTGCAAGAGCAGTATGTGCTGAATCAGTGTATGCTCAGTATACTGAGCCTTCTCTCTAGATCACAGCCAGGCCTTTGTATAATCACCACTTCAATGCATTTTTTTTCTTCTGTTTGGTTTCATTTGACTGGCGCTCTGCCTCCATGTTTATCTCCTTTTCTCTCCAACTAGTGTTGTGTTATTCCATATAGATTCCTTCAAAACAGATACCGTATGCTCAATTTCTCATATACCCATAAAAAAGTAGAAGGCGGCTAAGACTATAACTGAAGACCAAGTAACATGTCCACAGCCCTTGGTGTGACTGGGGAGTGGGGTATAAAAACATTTTTAGTATGGACGATTACTTTTTTCTTGGGGGGGGGTTTAGAGACAGGTTTTGTGTGTGTGTGTGTGTGTGTGTGTGTGTGTGTGTGTGTGTGTGTGTGTGTGTGTATCTTTGGAGGCGATCCTGGAACTTGCTCTGTAGACCAGGCTGGCCTTGACCTCACAGGGCCTCTGCCTCCCATGTGTTCCACCAACGCCTGTAGAGAATTCCTTTAAATTATTTTCTTATAGCTTCCCAGTGTATTAGATACCTAGATGATTTTAATAGTTTGTACATAGTCTGTGTTATAATTTCCTAGACAAAAACGAAGATAGATGATATTCTCATTCTAAATAAGATTTATTTCTAATATAAAGTAGTTTTAACAGGTAAATACTTAATTTGTAATCAGGTAAATACGTTTCTTGAAGTCAGCTTGCTAGTATCTAAAAGATTATTTGACCAGTCATTTCTACGAATTTATCCCAAAGTATTATTTGTAGATACTGTTAAATATTTTCAAGCATTATGTGTCTGTCTACTAAGAAAGGCCTTGAGAGAAGCAGGGGACTCTTCAAATGCCTATGTGCATGCCCTGCCAATCCTGTTCATGTTGGCTCTGTGCAAAATTCAGAATACTGTTGGTGCTACCAGTACTTTGTTCTAGATTATGATCTCAGCTCCAGCCCTCAGGCATCACTGCCCCAAGGCTTTTCTAGTGGTATCACAAGCTATAAGCAACAACCCTCAAGGCATTGGTTTCTCCCTAGAAAAGACAGACAAGTCCATAGAGTACATATAAGCACTTGGCAAAGACTGGTGTCCCCGTGCCAGTGGGTCTGTAATGTTCTCTCCAACTAAACCCTAAGGACTTCTGATGGATGACAGTTTAAAACTCAACCCCTTAGCAACATTGTAGTAGGATCCTTCAAACATTAATTCATGTAATTATTGTAAAAAATTTCCTTATGTAGAGATTGAAGGTTTATGAAGGGATTGAGGTTACAAAAAAGATAGTTTTCAGTCTTAGATTCACTTGAGTAATTCACTTCTAATAGTTTAAAAGCATCAGTCTTCTTAAAGGTGGTGGTGCTTCTCCCAGTTAATATTTTCCTGCTTTCTTAACCACAGGTTGCTACTGGCAGAGTTGTTAGTGAAGATTTGGACCTCTATGCTACATCTCGAGAGAAACGATTTCGCTTATTTGCATCTATAGAATGTGAAGGACAGTTATTCATGACTCCATATGATTTTATTTTGGCTGTTACAACAGATGAGCCCAAATGTAAGTAAAGATTCTAAATTACCTACATAATAATCTTAGTATGTTAATGGTTTCATGATAATTTTCAAACATTTCCAAAAACGGTGGTAAAGGTAATAGATACTAAGCAGTCTGGGCAGGTTACAAAGTTGACAATAAAAATGAACTTTGAAGAGAAAAATCTCTATTTTGTAAAAATATGAAACAATATACATATTTTAGAATACATAACAAAAGCGATTTAATAATTCAGAATTCATTCTGTTACGCAATGCTTGCAGACTGAAAATTGCAGAAAATTTGAGTCACTCTCTTAAATACCACTTACTTTAGATATTCTTAGAAGAAATTAATGTTATACCTATTATTTCCTATGTCCAAAATGAATAAAGTAACTTAGAGGCCTGGCATTGAAGTTATCCTTGCTCAAGAATTTTGCTTTTATGTCTTCTGTATTTGTCCTGCCTCCTGAAGGATAAAGATGAACTAATTCTTCCCCACTCTTCCATATGTTAAAGGAGTGGATTTCAAACATTTGGACAGTTGCTTCATAACTGACTTAGTAAAGGGTAACAAGATTCTTTATACACTTTTGTGTTCAACCTGTTTTAATATGTTCTTTTCAATGAAGTATAGAAAGAAAATTCCCCCTTACAGACAAAGGTGGTCAGGAAAGGGAGGACACTTTCTTCTGAGCTTGGCTATTCTCTTTTTACACTGTCACAACTTGCCAGTGGTTGTTCAGGCTCTCAAACTCTCAAAGATGGTACTGAAAGATTCTCTAGTATGAAGGGGGTTGGGCTAGATTAACTGGACAGCTGGGTTGTAAGAATGAGGTTGAGGAGGATAAACATCACTAAATTTTTGACTGATGTATTTGAGATACATCAAATATGTACAAGTTGGATTTTTCTAGTTTCAGCTCACTGAAAGATAACTAAAAATTAATGCACCAATAAATTGGCTAATATTTGCTTCAGTTTCTCATAAAATATATAATACTTTACACTAGAGCAACTATAGCATTTTACTTGAGAGAAAAACCAAATATTATTTCTTTTCAATAATTTGTCAAACTTGTGCAGACTAGCTTTTAATTCTTTCTTTCCCTTCAGTGCTGGACATTGGACCCAGGGCTTTGTATATGCTGAGTTTCATCACAACCTTCAATGATTGACTTTTGATGCTTTGACTACTCGGGAAGTGAAGATCAGGGAGAGGTCTAAACATTAGGATTTGCTTGTACATGATTAGTAGCTATGTATGTTAAAATTGTCCAGAGAAATATTATAATATTTTACATAACTGGAAGCTAGCCCTTGAGGAACTCTTTAAGTTCAAAAACTGAGTGTACAAATGCTAGGTCCAGGACTATTCAGAGAAACAAGGAAAAAACAAAACAAAACAAAAACCAGAATGGTTCAGTCATAGAGGCAAAGGAAATAGTTAGGGTGGTCAAGTGAGTGGAACACTGCTGGGAAGTCAAGTTCCATAAGGACAAGGAATATTCCAGACTTAATAAGATGAAGGTTGCTGATGACTTTTCACTGACATTTCAAGGAATTGACCAGGACAAAAACTAGATTGCAGAGTGGAATAACAGATAAAGAAATGAAGACAGTGACTGACAATTACCTGTTCAAGATGTTTGACTCTTGACAGGGAAAGGGAATGCAGCTGGATTCGAATTTGAGGTAGAGGTTTGATAGTGCAAGATTTTAACCTTCCAAAAATTTAAAAGTAGAAGTTGTGATTGAGTAGGGCTGTTTAAATAGTAATTATAAGGCTAATGTAAGATTTATAGCCCTTTGACTTAATTGACCCGACATAATATGGGTTTTTATTCTTTATTTTTGAGTACTCTATACTAATTTTATTAACATGAAAATAATAATAACCTCATGAAGAATTTTTTGAGAATAAGTTGTGTGTGGCTGGCAGCATAGAACAAGTTTTGGATCTATTGTCATCACCATCACTGTTACTATTTTAATTCATAATCAGATTTTTAACATCTTTATGATTACAATCAATAGGAAAATGCCTTTATTTCATAATTGTAGCTCAAATAAGTGCTAACTCTAAAATATACCACCTGTTGGTTTGTAACTTTTTTGGAAATTAGTTTTCCTTATTTTTCCCTTTAGACTAGAGTCTGAAAGATAAATTTCCCTTCTAGGATCAGAATATGTAGTTATTTTGCTTCAAGAATCATTTTAATTTATATTTTAAAATACACTGTTAAAATATATCAAATACAAAAATTTATCACAGATACGATGAACATCAGCCTATAACCTGAGAAATGAAATACTTCTAATATTAAATCTAGCATAGATTTAATGCCTCCCTCCACCTGTTATATTTATATACTCTGCAGTCAAATGCTCTACCACTGAGATATACCCACTATATACTCTGATTTCATATAAAATAAGGAATTTAGAAAGTCGAACACCCTTTAAAGACTTACCTTAATGGTTTTTTAACAGCTAATGATACTGAACATGGTACATTTCCTGCAGAATGAATATGTCTTTTGTGAATAATCTACTGTGGAAATCTCATAAAACCACAAACTCAAGAGTAAATCTAACTTCCTCGTTGGATAAATAGTTTCTGAGTATTGCATAAGAACATGTCCATGTATGTGTACTTTTTATAGATTTTTCTTTCACTTTTCCGAAACTGTTATTTCTTTGTTCTACTCACTAAAAAGAGCCATTGCAGAATTATGTGTACAGTAACATAGGTAAGGCTACATGCAAATTCTTGTGATTTCAGTGCTTGATCACCTATTAATATATACTACTAGGTAAAAGATTCGTTGTAAAATGGAGGAGAATTGATCTCCAAGAAAAATTAGTCTCCAAATTTTATAAAAGTATATCTTCACATTTGATCTTAAGATGAGTTAGTATGTTGCCTTAAAGTGTTTAATAGCAATGCATCTTCCATATATCTTTAAATTTATATATTTTTAATTGTACAGACTTGCTGTGTAAAAACAACTGTTGATAGCCAGTTTTCCTAATGCAAATATACTGTAGGACTTAATGACTACCAACCTGTATATAATTCTTAGCTATTTACAATAGAACAGCTGAACAAGAGAAACAATTTGGGCTGTGCATCTATCCCTGCATTTAACTGTTTAAACTGAGATCACTGACATGATCAAGAAAATGATATTTTATTCAGCTGCTACAGTTCTGCCTTCAAAATACTTCTAGAACAGCTGTATACACAAGTAAGAATGCCAGTTGGATAAGAAATTTCCCAGCTCACCTATTAGCTCTTCATCTCTTTGCCACTATCATTTTTATCCTGGACAGACCTCACTCACCTATGAATTATTTCCAGAAATACTCATTCACTTCATTCCAACATGAATATTTTATAAGTATCATTATTTGTCCTTAAAGTCCCATAAATACTTAACGTTAAGTAGCATAACTTACCTTATGGATTCAGAAGGGCCCAACCGTAATCTAGTTATGGGGGAAAATCCTGTGACATTTATTTTGCTTATTGTAAGTTATAGTATTTAAGATAAATAGATATGGTGAGAATATCATATTTTAGATTCAAATATTAAGGGTAAAAACTTGCTTTTGAAGATAAAAGCTTGATTTTGAGTTATAGTTATATATGGTTACTAAATATGAATTTACATTACATACAATATTATCTAATTATTTTATATTTATTTTAGTTGCTAAAACGTGGAAGTCACTTTCTAAACAGGTAAGTTAAAGCTCTTGGTATACAACATATGCATGTACACACACAATACACACATGTGTAAGCACACATGCACGTTATCTGATTATATATAATACATATATGGTTTTTACAAATGAAAATTCCATAATGGTGATATTATTATTCTTCTTCGTAATATCAGTAAATAAAATTGGCAGTTCCTTGTACTAGTGAAGATAGTGGTTAATTGTCATGTGTTAGTATAGTGTTCCTTGTTTAAACAGTTAGAATTATCTACTAAATTTTATATATAGAGAGAGACTCTTTACCCAACATGTCCATGCCTGAGGTTTAATTCTACAACAGTACATTCACATGTACCTAGGAAAGTCAAGCTTAATGTACTTTATGACTAGGTCATTTCACATTGCTGCTCATACCTAGAGAAACCATCAGTTACACACAGAAAATGTTCAGAAGTCTGTATGTAGACTGTTCATCATGGTTTAAAAAAAAACAAGCATATGAGTAATAGACCCAACAGATTTTCAAAACATATAACTCCATTCAAACAGAATTCAAAACTGGGGAAGTACGACTACAGTATTTAAGAATACATACACAGTAGGCAAAACTAAGGGAAAATTAACATAAAATTCAGGCAATTGGTATTGTCGTCAGGGAAGGCCTCAGAGTGGCTTCTAATACACTGATGATTGTCTGCTTTTAACATAGCTATTTTTAACTTCCTTAACTAGTAAAGGAGAATTCTCAAAAGCGTATAATGGCAAATGCATGCTTCCTTGTGAAACTTCAGAAACACTGTCTTTATGGTTAAGTGTAAGTTAGAGGGAGATGCCGTCCTAGTGAGAGGGCTAGCAAGGAGACATACTTCGTTAGCTGAGAATTCTAGACTGCTCTGATAAAGTACCACTGCCTAGTGGCTGAAACTGCATTTATCTTCTCACAGTTGTGCAAACTAGAAACTTAAGATCAGGGCATTAGCAGGGTGATTTATTCCAGGGCTTTTCTCATTTTCTATGGCCATCTTCTGGCTCTGTTTCACTTGGTTTTTCCTCTACTAATTTAGGGGGATCTCAAATGATAACTTTAGTGGTATTTTTGAAGGACCTGTCTCCAAAGTAGCCAGGTTCTTAAGTACTGTTTTATGGCCATAATATATAGTGTGTCAAGGAGAAAGAGAAGTAGAAAATAGGGATGGAGCGTGGAGAAGAGGAATTGTAAGGACTATAGTGATACAATTTTAAAAAATCATATCCATTAAAAGTTTTGTAAGTTATTACTATATATAAAAATAAATGAATCAAAGGTAATAACATGCTGATATTTAATTTTAAATTAATAATAGCAATTATGTAACTGCATTAAGATATATTTCACAATAGCAACAAAATCTATGAGGTACTTAAAAGTGTACTAACTTAGTTAATTTTCTATTTCTGTGACAAACCACAATGACCAAAGCAACTTAGGATAGCAATTATTTCATTGGGCTCATGGTTCTAGATGGCAGTTCAAAAGCATGGCAGCAGAAACAAGAGCTCTCATCTTGATCCAAAAGTAGGAAGCAGAGAGCTAGCTCAAAATGAAACAAGTCTTTGGAAACATCATATTTCACCCCCAGTGACATACTTTGTCTAGCAAGGCCACACCTTCTAATGTACCCCCAAACCATCATGAACTGGAAACCAAATATTCAAACATAGATGCTCCAGGGTCATTCTCATTCAAACCACCTCATTCCCCTCCCCAGACCACTTAATTTGAAATTGTGAAATCAACTTAGTTCTACTTCAAGAGTCCTCATAGTCTTCCAGTCTCAACAGCAATTTAAAGTCCAAAGTCTGTGACTCAAGGCAATCTCTTAATTGTAATGCCTCCAAAATCAAAAGCAAAAATACATACTTCCAACATACAGTGGCACAGAATTTACATTGCCATTCCCCGAGGGAGGCATTGCGGCACAGTGAGGCAATACTGGACCAAAGCAAGACTGAAGGCCAGAAGGGCAAACTCCAAATCCTGTAGTTTTGTGTCTGGTATCAAAGAGATGAAATGGTTCTGCCCTTCTTTGCTCTCTGCAACATAACTTTTCTCTTGGGATGATTCCACTCCCTGTTGGTGGCTCTCCTTGGAACATAATTATGTCTCCAGCACGTCTAACATCAATCCAGGCTTCACTTTTACAGCTTCACACAATGAACTTTCAGGGCCATCATGCAGTACTGCCCTGCCACACAGTGCCTGGCCTCAGCTGTTCTCCTTTGTCATGGAGAAGATTGTGTAACCCCTTTGCTAGTGTAGAACCATGTAGATGAAACTGTTGGATTTAGCTGCCCACTGGAATGGAGCCCCCTTGAATTACATGTACAACAGCTTTCCTTTGTTGATTTTTAGGAAGGGGGATTCCTTAGGCCTTTTCCTTTCACAAGTTGAAAGCTACTTGTGACCTACCCTTGAGGACACTGCTCTCTATTCTGTTTTAGATCAGGCTTTTCTTCAGTTTTATCCTTTCAGCACAAGTCTTGACTCCAACATTAAATTTCCTGATGTTATTTGTTTCTTATAACTGTACATTTCATATCTCTTATTCCCCACTTGTGCTTTTTCTTTTTAGACCTGCATAATATTGATTATAAATAACCATCTGATAGAGTCAGTGGTAGGCTGTCTTGAAATTTCCTCTGTCAAAGGATTTAGTCTATTGCCTTTTAATTTAGCCCCAGGAAAATTCTTAGGACAAGGGCACAAAGCAGCCATGTTCTTTCCCAAAATAGCACAAAAATGGCCTCTAGTACAGTTGTCCTAAAGTCCTAGCTTCCCTCTAAAGTCGCTTGAGCCTGGGCCTCCAAGGTCCACATAGCTCTCAGGACTGCCTTTCAGGCTCCTAGTAGGGTGGTCCATTAATCCCTGTAAGTTTTCAACCATTTCTCTAGTTCAAAACCCCAGTCTTTCACATTCATCCAAAACCCACATGGGTACGTATGTCACAGCAACAGCCCACTCCCTAATGCCTGTGTCTGTCTTAGTTACATTTCAATTGCTGTGACAGAACACCAGGACCAAGGCAACTTACAAAAGAAGTGTTTAATTGGGCTTACGGTGTGAGAGGGTTGGACACCATGATGGCAAAGCAAAGGCATGGCAGCAGGAGTAGTTGAGAGCTCACTTTGTGATCTGAAAGCTGATTCAAAATAGCATAGGTCTTTGGAAACCTCAAAGTTGATCCATAGTGACATCCTTCCTCCAGCAAGGCCACACCTCCTAATCCTCCCTAGACAGCCACCCAAGAGTATACTGGAGCCCAGGTATTCAAAGATGGGTCTATGGGACCCATTTGCATCAAACCACCACATGTATTAAAGAGTGAGTACAGCACTTTAAAATTGCCTTTCAAGGAAAGGAATAGTTATAGTATCATGTTCATGGGTACTAAACTAGTTATAAAATACTTATATTCAAATTTATCTATAAATCAGTGTTAATACTAGTCTTACTCTAATATAATTTTGACAAAATTGATTTTAATTTTCACTTTTTAAAACATTTGGGTTAGGACTCTAAAATACTTAGAATAATTTTTAAAAGGAAATAAAAAAGATGTGATGGAGATGAAAACACATGATTCCTATTAATAAGATTGGTAAAGATTAATAGTAGATTTATAATTAAAATATATGATTGCAAGGATATTTTAACTAGATGAATGTGAATAATAAATAATAGAAAAATCCAGAGGCATTTTAGGGAAGATCTGTAAATCATTAGAGAAAAGACTGATGCCCCAGTCATGTGTAAGAATAAGAGGCTTTCCCTGTGGGGTCAAATGAAGCTAATCTTTAGAACCCACCACCGTCTATAAAAGCTAATTGCAGGTAGATTATATTCTTTTTTCCCAAGCATCATGCCTAATAACTGTATTCTTCATTGAAATATATTTCATATACTTAGAAGGGTGAACACATCATAATATACTCCTGTAGTTATATATGTATACTGTAAAATCTCAAATTATGAAAATGCTTTCATAATTTATCATCCAAAAACTAAAAGAGGATCTTGCAATTATCTAGAACTTCTGTAAATGGATACTAAAAAGACAATCATCTCAATAAGAAATAAGTGTGCAACATAACTAGAATAGCTAGTAAATGTGTGTAAAATAGTTTAACTTGCTAATAACCACAGACATGCAGATTAAAGCAATAATATTCTATTCTATATCCACCAAATGTTTAGCTTCCAGAAATTTGACATTGTCAGTAATGAGCAAGGGCATGAAGAAGCCAATTGCTTTGGGGAGGGATTTGGTAATGGCTGATGAAATTTAAAATGTGTATCTGAAGTCCTATTTATAGGTATGTATGCTAGAGAGGTTTAAATGTTCACACTTGCTATCTTATTCATGTTTCCTAACACACTGATGGAAGAACAAAATATTTAGAAACAAAAATTGTCATTGGGATAATGGATCAAATAATTGTAAAGTGTCATACCGCAGATAACATGGTAATACAGAATAAAACAAGTAAGCGTTAGAGCTGTGTGCATCCGGCTGTAGACCTAACTGATACAGTTGAGCAAACAGCAAGTGGCAGGATGCTGATGTTGTCTAGGACCTGGGGAATCAAAGTAATCCTCCTGATTCTGAGAAGCTGTTCGTTTTATTCAGCCTCATTCTCTCATGGGTATCAGCAGATTTTTCTGAAGATTGCATAAGTGATGTTATCACAACTGACTTTCAAAAGTGCTATCATGAACAGCCACTGTAGAGTTATCAATTTCAAAATAAAGATTATTGGCAAGAAGCTATGTCCTTATTATGTAAAAAACAAAGATGAAAGTACAAAACAGTATATATAGAGTAAATATTTAATATTTACAATAATAAAATGCTGAGAGAGTTGTATTAAAATAATATTAAATAAAATTGAAGCCCGGTTTGTCTTTGAGTATAAGTTTTCTTTTCTACACCTAAACAAATTTTCTGTATGATTCATGTGTGTGTTTGTGTTTGTGTGTGTGTACACATACTGATTATATGATAAAAAAACTATACTCACTTAAGAAAATTACCTAAGTATTTTAAAAAGACCTTTAACTTTAGGAAAGTAAAATTAATTCAGCAAATGTATATTTGTTCCCTACTTGCAATACTCAGAACAGAGATCGGGAGACATGATGGGAGAAGGTTTATGCAACAGAAACTGTATAAATTTAAGTATGTATAGTATATTAAAAGTTTTTGTTCAATTTCTTAATTTAATGAAAATATTTTAGTTTCATCTAAACAGCAAATATCCCAGACTCCTTGTCGTTCACACTTGAAGTCTTACCTGTTTGCCATGATCCCCTATTGGGCACTGCTCATCAGCTAGGCATGTATTACCTGCAGTGTAGAAGAACCCATTAAGGAAACGAATGCTAGAATCCACATACAGGCTTCCAGGAGTCTGCAAATCCCCTAAAAATACTCCTGCTTTTGACATCCCAAGGATTTCCTTATTTTCCTGATACCTCAGCTTTGCAATTTAAAAGTATGATTTAGGAAAAATCACAGTCACTTTCTAGATTCCACTTACCAGGAAGTCTGTTTGAGGTATTCTCAAACTTGAATGTGCATAAGAATCACCTCGCAATCGGGGATAACACAAGTCTAGTGCAGAAGGTCTGGAGGAAATGCTACTCTGCATTTCCCTAAGTTTTTAGATGATGCTGGCTTTGTTGGAAAACACAGTGTGACAGATAAGGATCAGATCTAGTACTAGTGGCTTCTGCATTAAAAATGTCTTACTAAAAATGTGTTATTCAGAAAAGTCATTTTTAAATTTCAGATTATTTCATTTTCTTTACCAAATAGTTTCACTTGTTTTCTTTACAACAATATTATAGCTGTTACTTTGTTATTTTTATTCTTTTTTTAAAAATATGTATAATCTACTCAAATATTTTTATGTAAGCAATGGTTCAACTGTTTAAATTCTCCAACAATTTCTCAGCAGCAGTGAAAATTTACCCTTAGAAATGTGACTATAAATCCATATTCTGTTTACCCAGTATTAATATTCTTTGAGTCACCATTAAAATACCCCATTCATTCCTAGAGTATTCCTTTGCTCATTTGCTTCTTTTGATCAAAGCCAGATCAATCCGGGCATGTAGCAAAGAGGAATATAGAATCAGCTGGTCACCTGATTGTAATGAGGAGAACACATGGCTTTTATAAAACAATCCCTTGTTCCTCACTCCAGAACTCAAGCTTGCTGTTTTATCTTAATGTAGTCATCTTGGCTATATGCATCTAGTTAGGAAATTTATCTGAAATTTTGAATGACTCCAATTTTAATATAGGATCTTTAGATATTTGCATTATGGGCAAATATTGTAGTAGAATGAAGCACAGGTATAGAATGTCATATAAAATGACATTTCTGGTAATTTAAAAGAATTTCCTGGGGAGGATGCTTACATTTTTATTAAGATTCATGTTGTAAGAAATTGATTTGACTACTATTAGTATTCCAATCCTTCTTTTATAGGAATTAAGTCAGATGCTCTCAGAAACACCACCAGTTTGGAAGGGATCATCAAAGCTCTTTCGAAGTCTTAAAGAAAGAGGTAAGCTAACCTGAGTGCCTATGCATTTTAATATTGACATGGATTTAAAATTGCAATATGTGTGTCTGAATATATGTACATATGCACATATATGTGTGTATATATGTATTTGTATATATGCATATATACATACATATACATGTATACATATATATCACAAAATGCAAATGTTTCTGGGTAGGTAATGTCATTTTGGTTAGTGTGATTAAGGACTATGTTATCACTATATGCATACACAAATATATATATACTTCATGAACTCTTTAGCTTCATCATTTTTAACCATACTGAAAAGCATTTTACATTTGCTTATAGAAAATACTTTTCAAAAATATTAAATCAAATATTAGTTTTCTTCATTTCATTTTGCATCTAGGGAATAATAGTTACTTCTGCAGTTAGTGAATACACAAGGCTAGCCTGTGCTACATGATGCCCTGATTAAGAGGGGGGGAAAAGCAAAAGAAGTATCTTGGGTTTAATTGCAGTTTTCTTTTATACTATTTTTCCAATTGTTCAAATGAATATGAATGGAAGAGATACTCTTTTATTGTGGACATTTTTTAAAACTAGAATTTAATTTAAATTCTGGACTCAGGTATATTAAAATTCTCCTTGGAGATCTTGGCAAGATGATACAGTTTAGTAATCTCAGCTTCTCTAGAGCCTGAAGAAAGGAGGGTTTTGAGTTTGAAGCCAAACTAGACTACATAGCAAAGACATATCCAAAAGCAAAAATATTCTCAGATAATTTTATTCATGTTTTAGAGTGAGATAATTGCTTGAAAATTTTCAAAGCTCAAAAAGAATAGGTAAGTATAATGAATTTTAAATTTTTTTGCTTTAATATATCTCATGGGAAAAATAAATGGATCAAATATAATCTGAAAAATACATAGAAGAAAGAATTCTCTTTTTTACCTAAGAAAACACTAGACTGGAAAAGCTAACCCTTTGAATGTTATATGCTTATTTTCTTTTATGTTTTCTTTCTGCTTTTGTTTATTTTTCAGGGGGGAGTATTCATTTAGCACTGTTTAGTAAAGATGTTTGCAGTGATGGAATTGTTCATATTTCTTTTCTGTTTTATATAGAAACCATTGGTCAGTTGTGATTATTGAGCTCTCCAAATGTTGCTGCTATAAGGAGTCTAGTTATTTGGACTAGTCAAAATTTAAATAACTATGCCTGCCCATTAATTACCTACAAGATACTTTGTATCTGTCTTATATTCTTGATATTAGCAAGATCATTTAACTGTGGTCTTATAAGAGTTTAAAACCAGCTTGCTAGGTAGTTGAGAAACACTGACTACTTGATTTACGTGTGTGTGTGTGTGTGTGTGTGTGTGTGTGTGTGTGTGTGTGTACAAAGATTAAGTGGTGGTAAATTTTTAAAGCTAAATATTTAAATTACTGAACATTAATTTAAAAACTGATTTTATCTTCTTAGCTATAGCTCAGTAAAAAAAATAAGCAGCTTCTTATAAAAGTAGTATGTAACACATAGGAAAACAATAATAGATCAAGAAATAGTAATTTACCAATGTCATGTTTTTAAGGGAATTCTTAAAAATTTTTAATTGAATTTTCAAAACCTAGTTGTCATCTTTTCTCCCTCTCTACTACTCAAGACAAGGTCTCTTTAAAAAGCCCAAAGCTGTCCTTGAATTTACCATCCTGCCTAAACCTCCCAATTTCTGTGATTTAATTAACATCTTCTTTCTCCTTCACTTCTAGAGACTGTACCATCACTAGATACGCGCATTTGACTTTATGTTATTGTTTGTCACATTTAAGTTAGCCTCGAGTAAATCAAAGGGTTAATCTTCTAATTTTCTTCTGGTTTTCTATGTTTATAGTTAGGAAGCATTGTGAGTCTATAGTTCAGCTCTCATAGTATTTTTTTTTCTTGACTATTTTCTTTAAATTATATCATTTTGTTCTCTCTTTCTGGGTGCATATTAATCCAACTCAGTAGCCAGGTAGTCCTACAGAAAAATGCCTGCCATGACCCTCTGCAGTCAATTAGGTCTCCTGTTAGTTCACCCTATCATAGGGGAAGTCTTGGATTAGTCATCAGTAATTATATGGCATTTTCAAGTACTTAATATCAACTGTAATCTTTGTCATCTACTAAGTGAATTAGTATAGTAAGAGGACTCTTAGGTAATTGTGTCTTCAAGACCATTGACCATTTCAAACTCTCCCATAACTTTCATGGCAGTCATCCAGAACTGTCTGTCTCTAGGTCAATGTTCGAGTATAAACAAAAGAGAATGCTTTTCTAGCCCCTGGGTAGTTCCCTCAGGTCCCTGACAAACTGCCTGACAGTAACTCCTAGTCTCTTTGTTCTGTAACAAAGAGTTAGTGGAACCTCAAGGAACATGATAAGTGGAGATTTTAAGTCCATAATCTATTTAAGATGGTTTGTTTTTCATACCTTTTCCCAAACATCAATCTATGTAAATATTGTAGACTTACTCCTGAACTTAATTTTTTCAGTATTTTCTTGGTCAATTAAGCTATTAATTCTAGCTTTAAGAATAGAAAAGTGTAGCCTTGAAGTGAAAAATGTGTAAATAGAATCTGTATTTACTTTATACACATCCTTAGTAAAACTTGTAATTATGGGATACAGAGAACTCAAGTTTCAGAAAACATAAACTGAGGGCCATTGAATTAAAAAAAATTCATAGAATGAATTAAGGATGAAAACTGTCAGAAAAGTAGTAAATGATCATTTGACCCCCCAAAACTGGTAAGTATAAGGTTTTATTTTTGAATACACCTCAAATAACTAAACAAGTAAATATAAATGTTTTGTTCAAGTGTTACATAAAAAGTGACTAAGCTCTTTATAGCATTTCTGACCTTTTTTATGTTAGTTTCATACATTAACAACAAGTAACAAGTTAAAGTAGCCTGGTGGTGATGGCGCATGCCTTTAATCCCAGCACTCATGAGGCAGAGGCAAGCGGATCTCTAAGTTTGAGGCCAGCCTGGTCTACAGAGGGAGTTGCAGCATAGCCAGGGTTATACAGAGAAACCCTGTCTCAAAAAAAAAGTTAAACTGTAAATCAATTTTTAAATTTTGCTTTTGTTGCCAGTATATTATCATGAATGGACATTTTGTAGCGGCATGTGGAAAATTTTAAATAAAATGAATTTAGTTACATTTGCAATTATTTTGTAAAGTTGTCATCTCATTTAAAACAATCTTTAGCATATGTCTTAAACCAATTCATAGTTTTTCTTGTGTAAAATAACTTTTATGTTTGTGAAAAATGTTAGTATTTTACAAAGCATTAATTGATACTGTTTTCTTCTAGGTGTGATTTCTTACACTGAATATCTTTTTCTTTTATGTATTTTAACAAGTAAGTACATGTGTTAAATTTATTTCTAGATGATTTTTTCTTATAATCTTAAAAATATGTCTTTCTTAACATAATATTGGAAATTACCTCATGTGTATGTTGACTTGTACAATTCATGTCTAAATATCACAGGAAAATATCAAGTGTAACACAGTCAGAGTCAAAAACCTATATACTTTGTCTTGTGACAATAGTAAAATGTTCATATATAAATATATTATTCTCTGGAGATTAAGCCACATAAGACTCTAAAGATAAGAACCTACAGTGGTTTATTAAGTTCCTCTTATATGCATTTAAACCAGGTTCTCTGCAAATCTACTGTGAAAGAGTAGCAAGCCCGTGTCTCCTCACTGCTGCCGAGTCGTCCAAATACCCATCATCCGTCCACTGCCGTGGTTCACTCTCTCTGGCACAAACACAGTAGTGTTTATGAAGTATATGAAGCTTTACTAGAGCTTTTTGTTCAGTTGCTTTTCCTCCAGCAGAGGAATTGTGTGCTGTACTCGCTGTGCTTCAGCGCCTGGCCTGTCCATTTCTTAAACTCCCTCCACAAGGAGGAAATCCCTGCCCATTCAGCCATCAGCTTTTCTCAGAGAGCTTCCTAAGGGCAGTATCATTCAGGATTCCTTTTGACACAAAATTTTGAGTCTTTACTCTTGGCCCCGCTTTTGAAATAGCTCTCTTGCCCTTCTCTTTTAATCCCTTCATTGTGCGTTATTTCCTTCACAGAACTTAGATTATGTGAAACTATTGGCTTACATGTGGGTCGTGTGACAGCAGTGGAAGGTCTGTAATGGCTAAATGTTACCCTTTGGGGCCATCTGTATATATCAAGAACAATGTCTTATTCATAGTACCCTTTCAGAAAATAGTTGAGTGAATGAAGAAAAAGAAAGAGTATTGCTCTAAGAAATTTCAGATGAGGAAATCTATGGAAATGTATACAAACAAACAAATTTGTTTCAATATTTGATTTCTGTGCTTAGAGATTTTATACTGTGCTATTCTTACCTTAGTTGTGAGTGATATGGCCGCAAAAAAAGGGAGATGCGAACATGTGAATCCATTTATATAACAAAATTTATCTTTTATTTTCCCTTACATTGTTTATTCTCATAATATGATTAAGATTTTAGTGTTGAAAAAAATGAGTATTCTGCCATTGATAGTCAGGCCACACGAGACTGATCCAGCTTGGAAACCTGTAACCTAATCTGTGATGATCCTACCATGAAACCAGAGGGTTAAGGGGTATATCAGAGATGTTTTTAAAATTGTCTTTGGATACAAAGATGCAAATTATAAATACCTAAATAAACCGTGATGGAGAATTAAAAGGGACACTTGATTAGGAAGCCACTTAGTTAGATGGGACAGGGTGTGGTGTGAGAGTAAGGAAAATACATAGTTGGCTTGCTTACTATGGGCAGGTTAAATTGTCTGGTGCTGTGACATTTTCTAAGAGTATGACAGAAAAATTATGAGACTTAATAAAAGCGTGAAAAGAGACTATGATGAAGTGGGCACATTATATATGGTATGTGCCTGTGTATGCTTCCTCCTTGTCATTTCCCCTTCTAAACAGTGCTGATAAAGGTTATTTTACACATGTATTTTTTCAGATCTTTAAAAAATATAGAATCTGATTATCATATATGGTGTCAGTTTTCATGAATGATAATATAAAAGTAAATGCATATTCCTAAAATACCTACAAGAAATAAGCTCATAAGGGACTGGCTTCCATTTCTGATATTTCCAGAGATGGTTATGATGGATTAAGAAAGTAGGGCTATCCGCTTCTTTGCAAAGTTCAGGATTTCAGATCGATTGGGCTAGCAAGTTTACTAGTTGAGTAGGGGGAGCCTTTAGATTTTTGCTAGCCAATTCAGAGGTATAAGGTGAAGTTTTTCCAAAAAGTATTGTTCAGAGAACTCCTCCTTGAAAGATAATCCAAGTTTTCTTCCATCCAGATTTTCTTGTTTATACTCGAGAAATGGCAAAAGAAAAACCAAACAATAAAAAAGCATGAGCTTCTGGAAAAGGCTCATAAAATTAATTTGGCTCACAGGACATAAAAGTCTTTCTCAGAAAGAAAATCGTGTCTTAGATTTTGAAGAGCCTGGAATTACACATTAAGACACTTTATCAAAGTTTCTGGTTTTTGAAGCTTCTTAAAGTTTAACCCCAAATCTGTACCCTCTCATGATCACATTTATTCCACAGGTGATTTTAAATTTTTCTGAAGAATTTTAACTGGTGCATTATGTTGTATTTTTATTCCTTTTCTGTCACTTCAAGCAGTGGAACATCCAGGAAAATTCAAATGAAGTTACCTCCTAGTTGCTTTTTAACAAATAGGCAGAATGTGGATATTTGTTTTTAGAGAGACAGATGTCAAATATTTTCTTTAATGCTATCCAGTAAGTAATAGTCAAGTACTTAAAAAGCTTATTGTGAGTTCTGCTACTAAGTTTGCAATACATAAATAAAATATATGTACCCCTCAGTATAACTTTTGCTGTATTTAACTTATAGTAACATATTGCTTTTCATTTATTAGTTATTTTCTGCAGTGTATGTATCTATCTGTTGAATGCATGGATTTTGTACTTTGAAATACTTTTCTTTTCATTTTATCAAAACTTGTTCCGGGTTTTTTTTTTCTGGCAGAGCCTCATGCAGGATTTCGAATAGCTTTCAACATGTTTGACACAGATGGAAATGAGATGGTGGATAAAAAGGAATTTTTGGTGGTATGTACATGATATACTGTATTTTCTAATAATTAAACATTGCTTACTTATATGTTATGTTTTTTGTTGTTAGGATATTAATGTAATAATACTTCAAATAATGTTTATATTATGGAAGTATAAGTTATATTGTGTTTTTAAAGATGAATATAGGTGGAAGTTTGGAATTTGTCAGGTACTTTGTACTTGGTGGATAATAATCCCTCCTGAGATTATGTTGTGCAACAAATACTCAGCTTCTCCTGCTGGCCACCTTGCCGCAGCTCTTTACCATAGGATTTCCTTTTTATCAGTTTGAACTCACCGTTCCCTTCTCCTTTTCTCTCCACTCACTATTATACTTTAGGTGTGTGGACCCACTCCCCTGTCCCCTTCCTTTTCTTTGACCAAGAGCTTTGACCTCTGATCTTCCTCTCCTGTTACATGGTCTGTCAGAGTCTGTAGTTGCTTACTCATTTTCCCATCTGCCCCTTCCAATTTGGGGTTGTTTTGGTTTTGGTTTTTTTTTTTTTCTCTTACTTCTGTGTCCTACATCTGTTCCTATGGCAAAATGCTTTCTCTGTTTTTTTCTGAAATAAAAAGTAATGATAATTTATTTCTTAGAGTAGCAAAATCTCCCTTTAATATCAATGTTCAATTCTGCCGTTCTATATATTCTCCTGTTTAAAAGTAGGAAAAAGAGGTGGCATATAAAGAATTGTTTTATTTATAATACTGTTTAAATCTCTAGCTCACATTTAATTAGAAATAATAGGTAGGTAATTCATTGTGATACTTATTTTATATAGCTCTCTCTAAGGCAAGAGATTTTCCTCATTTTCCATGTACAGAAAATAAGCCTTAAACAATTAATTTATCTGGGGCATGATTTCAGCAGTCGTCTCTCTACAATGCAAGAACTTTACAGGTGATCTTGTCCTTTGTTCATACATAAACAAGTTAGAGCACTGAGTGGCCTGAAATGACATTAGTGTGAGACCAAAGCTGGACTCTAACAGAGTCCTTCAGGACTGCTCCCATGTTGTTTACAGCCCAGCAGTTTCCATCTCTGTCTGTCTATGCCTCAGGCTCACTGTCTTGTGTCATAGAGATCAAAGGAAACTGTGACATTAGACACATTTAACTCAACTGTGAATTGCCAGTACCAAAGAATGTATTTTTCCTTGTGAAAAATTCTGCCATCAGAAAATATATCTAGAGTAGATTAAATGGTGTTGAAACTATTTTGTTTATTTTTAGTAGGTACTTAGCATAGACTAATATGTAGGTGACTCAATTCTGATGGAATTTGGTTCCTGATTTATTTCCTTATAGCTTCAGGAGATATTCAGGAAAAAAAATGAAAAGAGAGAAACTAAAGGAGATGAAGAAAAACGTGCAATGCTGGTAAGACATACTTTATAGTAGTTTCAGTGGGTTTTTCCAGGTGAGAATTATTTTGTACATGTTGAAACAATGTAACATTTAAAATTTGGATCTTTTCCCTTATTGAAAACTTTCTGAAGGTTTAATGTAATAAAATTACTTCAGTATCTTATACATCAATATCAATATTTATGTTAAATATTGATATTAAATATCTGTACCCACAGTCATATTCATTATATCATTTTCATCCATACTGTTGTTATCTGTGAGATTTGAAGGGTATATCTTATAATAGATTAATAAGATCATTATGCATGTAAAAATTTAAAGGTGAATATGCAAAGGTTTAATTATGTGAATGAATTTAATGATAATGTAACATAATGAATGGCAAATATAAGGAAGTAATATGGGCTTTCTGCATTTCTTAGGAATAGTATAGATTCTTCTTCTGGGTTACATATTAGTGCTTTGTTCTGAAGTTGGAATTGACAGCATTTTATCCTTTCAGTCTTCATTTTTTTGTCCCAGATAGTTCAGTCTTCATAACAGGCCAGTTTACATAATAAAAATAACAGATTGGCCCTAAGTCCTTATTATCAAGTACAAGGGTAGATGCTTTTCATGCATCTTGTCAATTAATCTATCCAACAACCTTCCTGTTTTACATAATTAAGGATGAGGAACTGATTATTATAAAGTTTAAATACTTTATCCAAAGTTATAATACTGTTCAATGGCAAAGTCACAATTTGAACCTATGGTGGCCAGCTGTGAATTCTGTACTTTTATCCATCTTCAGTTATTCATATGCTACTTAAATACCAGAAGTATACTATGTTTTTGTTAATATATAATAGATATTTAACAAGAAGTATAATTCTAGTCGTTAGCATTTTAAAAATACATACATTGGATAACAAAGGGAAAGAAGAAAGGGAGGACTCGCACACAACACAGAAGAGAAAGCTATAGTGCTACAAAAAACACAAGATAAATGAGTATTTCATAATAGTGATGGAAATCACATTAGCTTGGATTAATTAGGCAATATCTAGGTAAATTATGAAATCTGTATTAGATCAGCTTTTCATAGATGATCTGTCTTATGTCAATGATACATTCCTTAGCAAATATATTGGGAAAGAAATGTAGTTTTAAAGAACAAGTAAAAATAACACATGAGTTGTGTATAACTATATTATATATGTAAAGGATTTCATTGCAGTAATTGATCTCAAAGGCACTGTTAATTACCTAGTTTAGTTCTCAGATGTCCCTTCCAGGGATTCTGAAGCAGTCTTTAGTTTGCCTCTCACTGACAGCACCATTCAGCAGTGAGTGCTCTACAAATCCTCGTTACTGTACTTGATAGTGACAGCACTGGCTTCAGTGCATTAGTCATACTTTATAATCTGAAGTTATTTTATACTGTTTTGTCTATAGGGGATCAAGTAAAATGCAAATGCTTTTGTCAGAGTGATACAAACAATAGTAAACATGTACATGTGTTCTAAACAGTAGGTTGAACTTGAAGCAACTAAAATTTGCCTTATAGTAAAAAATAAGAAAAAGCCCCAAAAGAAAGTAAACCAGACTCTTGAGCCTGGTTTGGAGGGTTTGAATATTACCTGTGCCTGTGTAATCTTCAGCAATATTCTTAACCTCTCTGTCTCGATATTTTTAGTTTTACAGTTGAAATGATAGAATAATTTTATAAGGATTAAATGAACTAAAATGCTTAGCTACCTACTAGTAGAATATATAATTATAATAATAAACATTAAAATGTTAGCCAGTAGCCTTAATAACAACTTCAAGGTTTCTTTAACCAAAACAAAAAAAGCTTATCCAAATCAAAATTTTAAAATACTTCTGTGTCAATAAAAGTCTGAAATGGCCACTGTGTACTAAGGTCTGTGCTAAGACCACACAGAGGGTCCTTCTCATGTAGTCCTCACTTCTCCAGGTAAGTATTAATACTGCTTCACAGACTCTGTTGTCATAACCACCATGGTAGAGAGTAGGTTCCAGAGTAGGCCTGTCATACCATTGTCACCTCCATGCTGCTGAATCTAGCAATCCCATCGTATGGAAGATCCTGAAACCTCTCTACAAACCTACATGCTTAAGGGGAGCATGTTTACTCACAGCTGTGGTTTTCTCACGTACAATGAAAATGGTTGAAATGAACCAAATTCATTTAATGTTTAATTATATTAGATTTTAAAAACTTTGCTACTCATCTTTAACATTTATCTCACATGTGTGTGTGCTTTATAGAGAATGTAGCATAATGATTTGCCCTTCCTAATTGATTATTTTGTCGTCTTTTTCTTTTTTTCTTTTGCTGTACTTGGGTTCATTCTGAAATGTGACACTTCATTTGGCCCTTTGTGCTCTATGTCAGCGTCTTCAACTGTATGGATACCATTCTCCTACTAATAGTGTATGTACAACACTTTAAATGTTCTTTATGTATATAGCCCTCACCTATTATATTAGATAACGTTATTTCTTTATAGAAAGCTGTATCTGCTATTTAAAATGTTTTGGAATTTGTTGAATACAGTAAGATGCAATCAAGCCAAAATAATTTCTTAATTTATAAGACAAAAATATAGAAAACAATTGTATATCTTTATTAGTTATGTATCTGTAAATTAAAATAAATGTGAGTGAAAAAGTGCCACCAGAAATTCTGGTAGAGTAATTGAAATTTTATATTTTTCAGCAATATCTGAAGTGTCATACAAAAATAATACAGCAGATAGGCTTGCTTCCTGAAGAACATGGGTATTTTAAAATCAAAATCTAGACTTGGTCAGTTCCAATAAAAGCCTGTTAATAGACTTTTAAATTCTCCATTATCATCTTTTCTGAAACTCTGTTGCTTGTCTACTTTCTCTGGTCTATTAAAAAGATGTATAAGATGTATAAGATGCTACTCATTACATTACTACACAAATCAACTGTGAACTTCATGCTTTTGTTGTGAAAATTTCTATAAATGCCCTAATTGTGACATTTCTGTTCTCTTGAGAACAGTTTATTGGTTAGCCCAGCACCTAAGAACCTGCTCAGAATAGACCTGATCCTTTCCTATAAACATGTGTAGTTAATTTAATTTCCCCAGCTGTCCTTCAAGCCTGTAGAAATTCCACCAGAAAACTCGTTGAATTCAGGGGCAAGTGTTTAAGGTACCCAATCCTAAAAGTAGGCATATCACCTCTGTGCTGTTTAATTAGCTACTCTAAACTATAAAAACACTTACTTTAGATTTGAACACATATTGGAGACAGTTTCAGCATAAAGCACAGGGAATCCTGCCTGTTCATAAGGAAGAACAGGGACTAATTGGAGAGTCTGTGGGACTCACATACCTAATTGTTTAAATTTGTCTAAGAAATGGGAAACATTTTCTATAGAATGTACTGCTGTTTCCCAGTAAGAGAAATTTTAATTGATGTTTCTCTGATAATCATTTAAAATTTTGTAAGAACTTATAAAGTGAAAATCTCACCTTAGAATATCACATGTACTTTTAAACATATGGTTAATAGTATTTATGACTTTATGGTTTATTTTCCATGTCATTGTATGAGCCACTTTTTAACTGTGGCAGTTTTAATGGTTCCTTTACTTTCTTAAGTAGTTACCATGTAGTTCCAACTGTGCAGACTTCACAGCCTCAGGCCTTAAGAGATTCTCAATAGCCACATTTAAACAGTGTATATTTTATTCACATTATCCTTGACCAGGAAAACATTTTCTTATTTTGTTGGTTAGCACATTTTTCATTTGGTTTTATTGAGGACAGCTTCTGTCCATATGTAAAATGCACATGAATATGATGTTGTATAACTTCATGTTCTAATCCACATTCTCAAGTGGATTATATAATTTAACTCTTTTAAGAATTTGTTTGATTTTTAGGAACTTTTTCCTATAAGAGAAAGTCTCTTATCAGTTAGTGATGATTATCCTCAAGTCCTTCAGGAAGGAGGCACTTCCTGGAAGTGGGATCTGAACATGAAGACAAACACTCTGACCTCTCAAGTAGCCTGTTCCAGGTCTGCCTGTGTTAACCCTTCCTGCTGCAGTAGAAGGCTGAGGCTGTTCCCTTTTGTCTGTGAATATAGTAGTTTCCTTCAGTAGCACTTCTGCTGTGAATAACCCAGACTGCTTTATATTTCTCATGTAGTCAGTCTTGGTTATTTTCCACAGTAATGAAGACATACAAAAAATTCAAAGAATAAGTAATTCAAGTAACCAAGACCAAGAATGTTTGATTTCAACATCCCTTATATGACTTTTTTAGACTATGTTTCTTAACTACCCCAATTATATTTCTATCAGAAAATGTGTCAATTTTTAATACCATTTCTCTGGTATTTCATCACATGTTGAAATATGTTTTATGAGCTAAATGTTGATATTCATAAATAATCATTAGTTTAAAAGAATGTCTTCTCTAGTTTATGATGCAGAGTTATAATATATATGTACATATATTTTACATATATATTGCCATACATGCTAGTTATATGTTTTCAGTCTTCTCTGTCATGACTGGCAGTTTTGTCTGCTTGATCTGTCAATTGATATATTAACCTCTGAGCCATCTTTCCAGCCCTTGTCAATTGGTATATTAAATAAATGTTACAATTACAGATTAACTGTCCATTCAAAATGTTCTTCATTTTTATTTATCTATTTTGATACATTATTACATGTATAAGAATATAGATTAATTAATTATGTCTTAGCTAAATTTCTGGTAGGTACTATACTAGATTTCTGGGGGGTTGCCTTATAAAATCTTTAGTTTAGTTATACATATAGACTACCTTTTTAATTAATATGTTAGGTTTTTTATTATTGTTTCCTGTAATAAAGCTTTTCCTGATTTTAAAAATATTTTAGCTCAAAATTAATGGAAAAAATGAATAATTATAAACTAGCTCAGGAAATACAATGTTGCTATATCCCTTCATACTGTCCCTGGTCATGGGTCATGATTCTTCTGTGTCCCCAAAATGATCCCTGCTTCTGTGGTTTATTGAAAGAGCTTTGCTTCACTACCTGTGCATTCTGAAACTATACTTTAGTTTTACTCATTTTACACCTTATATGAATGGAGTCATTGGAGGTAGTTCTAACTCGTCTCCTTTATTGCTGCAAGCAGTGGCTTTATCAGTTATCTATCGAGTGAACATGGTACTAGTTCAGCTTGTAACAGACTGTCTTTTGCTGGGCAGTTCCAGCCCCTGTGTATGCAGTGAAAGTGCTCCATGGGTTCTTCCTGTATGGCTACACCAGATATTGAAAATCTGTACTCAGAAGTCTGAGCAAGAGCATTCTTAAATGGAGTCTTTTCCCCAGCTGAGAGTGTGTGGCACTGGAGATTGTGGTGACGTTGGTCTTTGATGGCACTGTCTCAGCTCACTGTGCACAATTACCAGGACTTGCATTCATTGCTTTTGTACTATCAGTACACGTCTCGATACAAAACCAAAGGCAGATAGTATCTGTAAGAGTCTTTAAGATGTGTCTGGGTTAGCTTTTGCCTGGCCTTTTCATTTATTCACACTGAGCAAGCTGCTGCGAATGACTGGTCTCTCATCAACAGTAGCCTACTCTACCTTTTCAGCTTTGCTTTTCTCATTAACTGGGAAATTGTTAATGGTATATTTTGTGAATTGTACTCGTCTCTCTTTCTCCTAGCTGATAGTCTGTGCTCTTTAACTAGAAAATTCAGTTGATGTACATTACTATGATCGCTTTCTGAGGTGGAATTTAATTATTTTTCTCTGTTTAAGTCGTTCTTTTTTCCTAGCTTTACCTTTCCTTCTTTAGATTAACTGAAATTTATTTTTTCTTTAAGTTTAGAAGACACTTAATATATTTCTATGTTTGCCTTCCAAATTTTTTATGAATATACCCAAACTAATAAAGTGTTAGGCAATATCTGTATGCTCTTCCTTAGTAACAGAGACCCTTAGGATGGTTAACTATCTCTGATGCTTCTCAGCACAGATAATTGAATTCTTGTATAGTATCTGCATTATTCTTTTTTCTGATATCTCAAATTAGATATTTTGAATACATACCATCAGTATCTGTGATAATGTCACATTGAAACTTGGGCTGCCTTTGTACTCCTGATTCTCCAGCCTCAGCCTCTCAAGTGCTGGGTTACAGATGTGTGCCACCACTCCTGGAAGTCAGGGTTCATTTAGAATTACCTACATATTTACCATTCTTTACTCAATTTCTGTTTTGGAGCTAAGGAGATGGCTCCATTTATAAAGTACCTACCCTTCTGAGTTTTGATTCCCAGAATCCACATGAAGGTCGGTTAAGTGGGACATGTGTGTAATCCCAGCACGAGGGAATGTGGGACAAGAATGGTTGGAACCCTAAAGCTCATGGGCCAGCCTCGCAAAACTGATGAACTTTAGGTACAGGATCTTGTCTCAAAAAATAAGGTAGGGAGTGGTGAAGCAGGAAGATAACTAATGTTGGCATCTGCCCTGTGCATGCATCATGCATATGTATATATGCATGTGTACCACTAGTCCACACAATTAATTTAATCTTACCTCTTTCTAAACCTTTTAGTCTAATACTCTAAAATGCATCATCAAGAGCAAGTCCCTTCATGAATTAAAAGAGAAAATGATGATTTAGCAATATAGCTCAGTGATAACTCTACCATTGAACTTTAGCATGTCTAAGGCCCTAGATTCAATACACATCACAACCAAAGAGAAAAACAAACAAACCTCTCTGTGAAAATGTTTTTATTCTATCTTAATATATGCTTCTCAGCATGTGATGATAAGATTTATACACTGTTGTTTCACTTCTATAAATGAAATTAAAAGCCCAATTCTGAATGTAATTATTTTTCTTTCGTAGGTAAGCTGGGACTCCTCCCAGCCCACCTTTCCTCCCCCCCTTTATTGAAAATAGATTTTGCTCTCATATAATGCATCGTGATTACAGTTCTCCTCCCTCTACTTCTCCTAGTTTCTCCATACCTCCCCTCCCATATAGATCCATGCCCTTTTTCTCATTAGAAACCATACAGGCTTCTAAAGAATAATAATGAAATATAATAAAATGAATACTAACACATCAGAATTGGACAGTACAAACAAACAGAAGGGTGTGTTAGTTTTGATAGCATCCCCTTTAGGGCAGAGTGTTCCAGGGTTTCTCACTCTCTACATAATGTCTGGCTGTGGATCTCTGTATCTGTTCCCATCTGCTGTAGGAGGAAGCTTCTCTGATGATGGTGGAACAAAGCACTGATCTCAGTGAGTATAGTAGACTGTTGTTGAAGTCTTCCTTGTCTTTGTTATTCTGTAGTCCTGCTTCAGTGAGCCTCTATGCCCTGCTTTTATCTATGGTGGGTGTTTTTGAGCTTCAAAAACAGGACATTGTTTAATTATTGAGAACTCATTGTCTTCACCTGACGGCAGTTCCCATCTTTCTCCTCCACCGCTTTCTAGACTTTCATGGACACTCATTTTGTCTTACATGTCTGTTAGCTTCTCTCTGCGAGTTTGGCAGACCTGGTGAAAACTAGTCTTAACAACATTAAATTGCAATTCCATGATTACTAAGGTTTTTTTTTTCTTGTTGGTTGCCTGCTTGCTTGACACAAAATATAAAGATAATTTTATTAGGTTTTGGTTGTGGTTTAAGTGTGTAAAGTATTTGCATTTTTAGTCATGGATAGCTTTGGGGAGTCATTCTGCTTATCACAGTGACAGATCACTAAGTCTTTCTTTTGAACAGCCTTTGACCTTTCTTTCCTCCATCTCTGCACTCCTATCACAGATATCAGTGATGGGATTTTAGAGAATTACTTGAATAGGACCCTGCTTTGGCAGAAAAAAAGAAAACAACTTAGCAAAGTTTAAGAAATCCCATTAATGCCGGGCAGTGGTGGCGCACGCCTTTAATCCCAGCTCTCGGGAGGCAGAGGCAGGCGGATCTCTTTGAGTTCGAGGCCGGGCTGGACCGACAGCCTCCAAAACAATACAGAGAAACCCTGTCTCGTAAAAACCAAAAAAAAAAAAAAAAAAAAAAGAAGAAATCCCATTAATATATAGTCTCTGAGTTTTAACCAAATATGAGCGACCGAGAGAGAGAGAGAGAGAGAGAGAGAGAGAGAGAGAGAGACAGACAGACAGACAGACAGACAGACAGACAGACAGACAGACAGGCAGACAGACAGAAAGGTCAGACTTGGTAGAACATCGTTTTGCCTGTTGTATTCTTTTTTGAAGTTCTATTGAACAGTCCATGTGTTCTTTTCTCTATTTTAATGAAAGTCTGCACTTGTTCCACTGGTAAAGGGCTGAAAGCTGAGATCACACAGTGAGATGTCTTCAAGAAGTCTTTAATGCTGCCTTCAGTTTATATGCAAAAGCATTGATTGGAGCTATCTGTTACAATTGTACATTTAATATCTTTCTTTAACCTGACACTTATATTCTTTATTTAACTTTTTATACATGTTACTCTCAGTTCCCTCTCCCTCCCCTTCTCTCCTGACCCCCCAATCCTCCCAATCCCCCATCTCACTCCACGCCCCCTCTGCTCCCCAGGGAGGGTAAGGGCTTTCATTAGGGATTTTCAGAGTCTGTCATATCATCCTGAGAAGGGCCTATGTCCTCCCCCATGTGTCCAGACTGAGACAACATCCCTTCCTGTGGAATGGGCTCCCAGAGTCTATATATATGCCAGGAATAAATACTGCTCTATTCTCCAAGGTCCCACAGATTGCGAAGGCCTCTTCTCTGACATCCAGGTTTGGGGCAGGGGTACAGGTGTCTGAATCAGTCCCATTCTGGCCTCTTAGTCATCTGTCTGGGGTCCACGCATTCCCCCTTGTTTAGGTCAGCTGCCTCTGTAGGTTTGGCCAGCCTGATCTTGATTCCTTTGCTCATCACTCCTCTTTACAGCTGGGTTCCAGGAGTTCAGTTCAGTTTTTAGCTGTGGGTGTCTGCCTCTGCTTCCATCAGCCACTGGATGAGGGTTCTAGGATGGCATATAAGGTGGTATATCTCATTATCATGGGAGGGCATTTAAGGTAGCTTTAATGCCAGTTGGTGTCATTCTTGTAGATCTGTGAAGATCTCACTAGTGCCAGATCTCTCCTCCAACTTTTTTTTGATTAACTTTTTTTTATCATTTTTTTATTTTAATTTTAAATAGCTTGTTTTACATGTCAATCCCAGTTCCCTCTCCCTCCCCTCTTCCCGCACTCCCCTTCCCCCCCTCCCTCCCACCCTATTGCCAAATCCTTCCACATAGGGGATATCTAGAGTCTGTCTGGCTCCCTCTATTTTGGTATCTCTCATCCTTCTCTCCTCTATTCTTACCCTGGCTCAACCTTCAAGCTCTCCCATGTCCTCCTCTCCCTTCGTCTTTTCCCCCTCTCTTTCTCCCATCTCTCTGCCCCCCCAGCTCCCAATCCAATTAAGAGATCTCGTCCCATAACCCTGATCCAAGGTACCATGCATATCTCTCTCAGGGTTCTCCCTGCTTCCCAGACTCTCTGGTGGTGGGATTGTAGGCTGGCAATGCCGTGCTCCATGTCTAAAATCCATATATGAGTGAGTATATATCATTTTTGTCTTTTTGTGACTGGGTTGCCTCACTCAGGATGGTTTCTTCTAGTGCCATCCATTTGCCTTCAAATTTAAAGATTCTAATACTAAATTTGCTCTGTATTTCTTCATTTTAAATTCTAGTTTAAGCATCTTATCTACTAGAAGATGAGGATTTTATTGCAAAGCCCTATTTATATTTTTCTGCTATTAAATCTTCCTACTAGTTTTGTGTGTTACAAAAATTCACTGTTAATTATATCATTAAAGTTATTCATTAAAAATTAAATACTACCTTGAGACCAGACATAGATAGGCATCAGTGGGAATGCCCAGCAGTCCACTGCTCTAGCATCTGTCTTTGACTTACAATAATAATAGCTGTGAAAATACTGAATCTTCCCTTAGAAGCATTGTGTTTTAAGAGATGGTATAAGATAAAACAGAAATTTAGACAGTTACAGCAATCTAAAAACTCATATTCTAGCATGATTTAGAATCTAGAGCTAAGTGAAGAATGAGAGAAAAGCTTTTGTGAGGCTATATAGCTGTTATGTTTTAAATATCTTAATTTTAATGTAAATTATACAGACAATTATAAATTTTCTAGTGTTTTTACCTGTAGGGAAGCTGAAAGAGGCAAAAAATTCTGGTAGCCTGCCATGCAGATTAATTATTCATTTATTTATTTATTTATTTATTTATTTATTTATTTATTTTGGTTTTTACGAGACAGGGTTTCTCTGTATTGTTTTGGAGGCTATCAGTCCAGCCTCGAACTCACAGAGATCCGCCTGCCTCTGCCTCCTGAGTGCTGGGATTAAAGGCGTGCGCCACCACTGCCCGGCCAGATTATTATTCTAAGTTCATAAATTTGCTTCTTTTCTCTACATGTAAAAACCTACTAGCATGGATTCACTAAGTTGTTTTCATTAGCTCTTGTGATAGCTGCCAATAAGCTATATTTTCTGGTTTAGTAAATTTAATACACCTTTTTTTTGGGGGGGGGGTTTGAGACAGGTTTTCTCTGTATTGCTTTGGAGCCTGGACGGGAACTCGCTCTGTAGACCAGGCTGGCCTCGAACTCAGAGAGATCCGCCTGCCTCTGCCTCCCAAGTGCTGGGATTAAAGGCATACGTCACCAAGCCAGGCTTTAATACACCTTTTAAAATCATGTTTTAATGTTCCCAGTGACAGATAAAATGCAAAAATGTTCAAAATATGTCAATAAAATAAGAGTTAGTTGTTAATCTAGTATCTATTGAGGTTATTTCTAGTTTGTATAAAGGAAAATGCACTATGCTACTTTTGTACTTAGCCAGTTTTCCCGGTGTACTTTGTAACTGTTTGTCATCAGCTCAGTCAGAAAAAGCAGTAATGACAGATCCTTGTCCTGGGGCCACATTGATAAACAAGCATGCATGTCTGTTAACTGTTAGCAGTGGACGGTGAAGTTTAGTTAATTATGAAGGTAGCAAAAATTAGAAAAATATCTTTGAAATATTCCTAGTGCATGCTACAGTTTTTTATTTGCTTGAAATAGAGTCCCACTGTGTTATCCAATTAGGCCCTGAACTTTTAGGATCAAACAGTCCCCTGCCTAGACTCTATAAAATATCTGGGATATGCACCATACCTCACTGATACCTGCCTTTTAAAAAGTAAGACAGAAGAAAAAGGGAAAAGTTCCATTATCCTGCAATAGGATATTTCTTTCTCTCAGTAACCAAAAGATGTATAAGCCTGATTACTTCAGCATTCATTGAACGTCTAGACAGAAGCTGATTTTAATTATTTTTGTTTAGAGTTTCAGGTTGGGCTAGTAGCTTTTGACCTTAGAAATTCCATCACACCGGCCAATAATGAGATGAAAATGAATGCCCTGCCCTTATGAGCATTAAATATACCTTATCTTTCATAGTAGACACAGCTGCCAAATCCTGGAATAGGTTTACACTTGATTTAAACAGGTGTGTGTGTGTGTGGTGTGTGTGTGTGTGTGTGTGTGTGTGTGTGTGTGTGTGTATCACATATTTACAAGCTTTGTATTAAAATTTGTATCTACTAGGTATGGATACATTTATTTTTATTTTGTTAGTCTAGCAAGATGGATGATAAGACAACTAATTTTTAATTTAGATATGCACTTAACAGGTTACCACAAATTTACAAAAATCTCCATATGTCATACTTTTGTAGAAGTAAATGTATGTCTCAACAAAAAGGCAGATTAGATTGGAGAGTTTGATTTTTTTGGCATAGCCACATTGTGCTTAGAAACATGTTTATACTATTTCATCCCTGGAAGTACCATGGGTCTCCTAGCTTGTAACATAATACTGTTGTGTACAGCAGCAAGACAATAAAGGTGAGTTAATGGGCCCTCTTCTCTTAGATAAAAGATATGCAAATCATGTAAGTTGTCCCTCTCTGTGACAATTCTTTAGACTTATGATGTTGTTCTTAAAACTTGTGCAGGTACTTAAAACAGATACTGAAGAACTCGTCTCCAGAAGCTACTGGGATACCCTGAGACGTAACACAAGCCAAGCGCTCTTTTCAGACCTCGCAGAGGTACAGTGAAGCCTCCATGTGGTCCTTGCACTAGATGTCATTTTGTTAATCTAATCTTCATTTTGTTTTAGACTCACAAGATGAAGCAAAAATAATGTATGGTTTTTCTATTTCTTCTTTCAGTAAATTGATAGGTTCTATGTGCCATATATAATTACAGTATAGAAAAAATATTTTAATATATTCATTATACTGACAGGAGGTGCCTATTATTGTCTGTGTTAATTGGATTTGTTTATTATATAAGGCACAACTTTCCTTTTATTAAAAGGAAATAATAGTAAGTTTTAATTCAGGACCACTACCTAGAAACTTGAAATAGTAATACAGATTTGTAAATTCTCTTAGACTATTTATCCTACAACACAACAATGGTGTTACATGAAATGCTAAAAGCTTCACTTATAAAAGATGGCTAACTCTTATGTTCTATTTGAACAATTAAACTTCCTCAACTAATACAGTGAACGGTTTACAGAAGTGTAAAATGGTGTGAAGTGCACAATCGTTCAAGGAATGGAGAAGTAGTTTACCTTTACATCATCTACGATTGCCATCCATGTTTAAATAAGAACCCAGCCAAATCAGACTCTGCTTTATTAGGGTTTGAACCTGACGCTGGTGGACCCTGTAGTGCTACACTCAGGACAGCCTGCCTGCCTTCCCTACTCATGTAGTGCCACCGTCAACAGGCTTTCATCTTTAATACTAAGCTTGATCTCATTTCTCTTCTAAACGTTAACTATAGGATTCAGGGTTAGAATGCTGACATGCAAGCATGAGGACCCGAATTCAGGCCTCCTGCATCCATGAAAGGGCGGGCACAGAGGCACGCTGTTTGTTCTTTGGTGCCAGCAGTTTGCAGGAGGAGGAGACGGGAGGGCAAGTCCCTGCTGCTTGCTGGCAATCTAGCTGCACTGGCAAAGCTCAGGATCATGGAGAGACCCTGTCTCAAAAACTTAGGTGGATAGTGTAAGAAAGACTTCTAACATTGATTCCTGTGCACACACGTGCACGCATGCACGCACACACACACACACACACACACACACAAGCTGAAATACATCACAATCATGTATGACTTCTTTTGCTTTTCTTTCTTTAAAGTTTGAGGTGGGACCTCGTTTGGAGATCTCTGTTACTACACTCTTACATTATAGAAAATGAGAATTAGCTATAAGTCACAACTTACTAGAATTTCTCATGTTACTATGGATTGCTAGTATGACAGAATTCAAACTGGTTCAGAAGAAAAGCTTGTACATATACTTATGTATTTCTTCATTGCATATAATATGCAACTCTTAAGATATAGGTAACTTAGATCTTAGTCTCTCGTCTTCTCATTGCACAGCTGCTTAAACTATTGATATTTTAAATTATAGAGAACCAGGTTTTTTAAATTACTGTAAAATGATATAAAGAAAAATTTTATATGTCACAGCTAGCATTAATTTCTGAGTAAAATTCAGAGTACGGTATAACAGGTATATCATACTGAAATAAGTTCATCAGTACAAGTATTCTCAAAATTTTGATTTTTATAAATGAAATTTAATTTTTTCTGTTCTGTAAATTCTATTTATGCCCTAGATTATTCAGAAACTTCATTATGTTGTCTTTAAAGATTTCCCTTTGCTGTAGATTAAAGTTATTTTCACATTGTAATAAATAGAATTTTTAAAAGGCTGTCTTAAGCCAGGCTGTGGTGGCTCACCCCTTTAATCCCAGCACTTGGGAGGCAGAGGCAGGCAGATCTCTGTGAGTTCGAGGCCAGGCTGGACCGACAGCCTCCAAAACAATACAGAGAATCCCTGTCTCGTAAAACCAAAAAAAAAAAAAAAGGCTGTCTTAAAACTTTATTTTTATAGTTTGATGTGTTTGTATTTTATATAAATTTTGAAAATTAAAATAACATTAGTGATATTTTTATTATTGGTGCTGAGAACTGAACCATGCTAACACACACTGCCAGTACCTCTAAACTGTATCCCACTCCCTCTGAGCTACTTCCCAAATAATACAACTTTTAACCAAAAAAGATTTAGAGTGTGAACTTAAGGGTAAATGGCCTGTAAGGGTCTGTTTGGTTTGTTTCACTTCATTATGAAATTTTCTGAATTCATTTTTTTTTACAATAATCACAAGACTCAGAGGGAGAAAGTCTTATTTTGTTTCCACATTCTTACAATGTTAAGTAAACTATTAGAATACCAAGGAGACTGGTAAAGCTTTCAATGCCTCCAGTGCTCAGTTGCAGTAAGGGAGGGGCCCCCATTTGCACTTTCTGTTTTGTTCTGTGTGCTCTCTAATGTCCAGTGTTACTCATCCCTCTGTGGATCTGGATTGCCTGAATAAGTGCAGACTGAAACTGATGAGATGGACACTGAAGACTGGAAGTGAAGATCTTTTTTTCCATCATCTTTGGAGATTATTACCATTTTGTTATCTAAGTCATGTTTCAACTTCTTAAACTTGACAGAAATAAGTAAAAAATGATCAGAATATGTTGTGTGATTTTTTTTCAATTAAAAAGCAGGAAAAACCTACCTCCTGCTCTATTTCTCTAGCTTCTGGACAGGTACATTGGTTCTTCATGCTAATAGGCTAGTGCCTACTACTAAGCTGAACTTGAGTGTCTCTCCAAGATATCTGTACCTACCCTATTTACAGTTAAGCTCTTCAGGGAAAAGTAAATTGAGTGAGACTACTCAAAAATCATATAAGTATATATGAGTAACATCAGTTGATTTTCCCAGTGATATTTGCACCTATGACTGTCGACAGGAACATGTGTATACTTTATTATCTTCGTATTGTAGTATTCTCCTTCAAGTTGTTTAGACAGGATTATTTCCTTTTTAAAGATAAATTAAGCTAAAGATCCAGATCAGTGAAACTGTTGGTTTTAAATCCTGTCTTTTTCCCATTAGAACAATCTACCTCCTCCACCCTGTTATTGGTGAATTAATGTCTTTCAGAGTCATTCCTTCCGCACATGGGACACATTAATAATATGCTTTTCAAACAAACATTTTTTTTTTTTGGTTTTACGAGACAGGGTTTCTCTGTTTTGGAGGCTGTCGGTCCAGGCTGGCCTCGAACTCACAGAGATCCGCCTTCTTCTGCCTCCCGAGTGCTGGGATTAAAGGCGTGGGCCACCAACGCCCGGCTTTCAAACAAACATTTTTAAGATAGTATGTGATACTCAGCTACCTGATTTCCAATCTTCAAAGAGGTTGGAGCATAATAGGGCTTTCCTCATGGATTTGGACCTCTGAGGGTACTTTGGACTTCTCAGTAAATTAAAATGAGAAATGGATATTAGGGTTCTTCCAAAGTATAAGGAAGCATAGGAAAATCTATACTTGATTATAAAAGAATGGGTAGATAAGAGGTTTTGGCATTTTGCGTTGGATTTGGGTTTGGGTTTAGTTTTTTGAGATAGCATTTCATATATCACCAGGTGGCCTTGAATTATTGATTCTCCTGTCTCAGCCTCCCAAATGCTAGAATTAAAGTCATGTGCTCAAAAACTCAAGTTTTAAAGAAAGATAAGTGTAGTCGAAGTAGAATGGAATACTTTTTTAGAAAGCAGTGTGCTAGAGTTAAAGAGGATCATGTAAGAGGGGAAGTAGACACCTAATTCCGCCACGTGCTAATCGTTAGTAGAAAATAATATTTGGTCCAAGAGAAACGAAATGAAGATCCAGCTAATATTGAAAACTAGAACAACTAGCTTTATAAAAGACAAGGAAGAGCATTTTAAGGAACCACATTAATACCAAAATGTATCTTGGACATGATGAGTGAAATGTAACTACCATGAGACCCATCTGTTTTAGAAAAACATTCAGCTTCGTGACACTGATGAGTACTATTTTAGCTACTCACCTTCAGTGGACATGCGCAACGATTTACTCATATTGAAAATGGTAGTACTGCTTATTTTTCTTACATTTCCTGTGAGTTGTGATCATTTGAATTTCCTGAATTGTGTACTTGAATTTATAAATTAAGTGTGAATTGATGACAAGGTAGAGAAGGAAGGGACACAAGAGAGGAAGGCTAATGAGGCACTGAGGTTGCATAAGCAGTTCAGCTCCGTGAGGACTGTAATCATACACGTGAGGAATATAATCACACACAGATAATCACACACTGAGGAACATAATCACACACAGATAATCACACACGTGAGGAATATAATCACACAGATAATCACACATGTGAGGAATATAATCACACACAGATAATCACACACTGAGGAACATAATCACACACAGATAATCACACACAGATAATCACACACGTGAGGAAATAATCACACACAGATAATCACACACAGATAATCACACACTGAGGAACATAATCACACACTGAGGAACATAATCACACACAGATAATCACACACTGAGGAATATAATCACACAGATAATCACACACAGATAATCACACACGTGAGGAATATAATCACACACAGATAATCACACACATGAGGAATATAATCACACACAGATAATCACACACGTGAGGACTATAATCACACACAGATAATCACACACTGAGGAATATAATCACACAGATAATCACACACGTGAGGAAATAATCACACACAGATAATCACACACGTGAGGAATATAATCACACACAGATAATCACACACTGAGGAATATAATCACACAGATAATCACACACGTGAGGACTATAATCACACACAGATAATCACACACGTGAGGAATATAAGCACACACAGATAATCACACACTGAGGAATATAAGCACACACAGATAATCACACACGTGAGGAATATAATCACACAGATAATCACACACGTGAGGAATATAATCACACAGATAATGACACACGTGAGGAATATCACACAGATAATCACACACATGAGGAATATAATCACACAGATAATCACACACATGAGGAATATAATCACACACAGATAATCACACAGTGAGGAATATAATCACACACAGATAATCACACACGTGAGGAATATAATCACACAGATAATCACACACTGAGGAATATAATCACACACAGATAATCACACACGTGAGAAATATAATCACACACAGATAATTGCACACATGAGGAATATAATCACACACAGATAATTGCACACATGAGGAATATAATCACAGATAATCACACACGTGACGAATGTGTTTGCTGAAACATAGTTTATTGAATTGAGTAAAGAAGGGGAGATTCTGGGGAATTAACTTCTTGACCACCCAAAAAGTTACAGGATGCTTTTCTTTGAAAAAAAAAGTATAGTGACAGGTTACTACTGTAGTTCCTCTTTCTAAACACATTGTAACATTTTTAAAAATCAGTTGTTACATAATGTTGTTAAAGGAAGCTGTTTTGTGAAAGTTTGGGTTCATTCTCTGTCATCTCCATGTGGTCAGTATTTTTGGAGAATATCCCTCTTTTGAATGAATTTTTCAGGTTGTTAAGAAAAAAACTAATTAAATAAAACAGCATAACTAAATGATGTCAAAATAAACTATCTTTAGATAATATAAAGTATGGATACTCTATGTTCATAATAATTTCAGATAGGATACTTTTAAAATATATCTATGACTTTAACATTTTCAAGAATAAGGATCAGTGTTGTTCAAATTTCAGTTTTTAAAATTTGACCACTTTAGTTATAGTTACATTCATGATTATATCCCTTGTTCTTCATTCTAATGTTTGTATCTTTACATTCTTTGTTTTTTAGATGCTTTTTTTTATTTCTTTAGGTAAAAGTTTTTGGCCTTCATGTATGTGTGTGTACCATGTGTGTGCCTGTGCCTGTGGAATGAAAAGAGGGCATTAGACACTCTGGAGCTGGAGTTGCAGTTGATTGTGAGCTATTTTGTGGGTGTTGCAAACCAAATCTGGGCCCTCTGATCTATCTCTCCAGCACCTCTTGATTTATATTTTGATAGACTTCTCAGAGAAATACTGAGCATCCTGTTTTGCTTTGTTTTTTGTTTGTTTGTTTTCTTTTTACTGCTAACTTTATATTATGTTTTTAAGCGTGCTGATGACATCACAAGCTTAGTAGCAGACACTACACTGCTGGTACACTTTTTTGGAAAGAAAGGAAAAGCTGAGCTCAACTTTGAAGATTTTTATAGGTGAGCTAAATTTCTGTTGAAAACTATTAGTCTGCTAAAGTCAGGTGATCTTGGGAAATCATCTAGTACAGTGATACTGTGCTACTCTGGTCTTAACAGAAAATATACCGTGTAGTGTCCACTACCGTTGCTGCCTCTGATTGTATTTACAATACATAGTTACTGAAAGATAGAGAAAATGTGTATTTACAGATTACTGCATCTTGTGTATTTAGAAGAAAGTCCCTTAGTCAGTCCCTCAATCTCAATAAGCCATAGTACAGTAATAATGGCCAGTATCGTTTCTACCTGACAAGGTTCTGTTAACCATTTTGTACACGGGCAGGTTCAAGCCCTGACAGAGAAGACATGAGTTCAGGTAGCACAGCCACTGAGCAGTAATTTCTCTCAGAGAGTGAAGCTTTGAGCCATTATATAATTAAATTATTTCCATATAACCTTTTCTAGGACAGTAAATGTTTGGTCATTTATCTTGTTTATTTTTCATTATTTTGCCACAGATTTATGGACAACCTACAAACAGAAGTTCTAGAAATAGAATTTCTTTCCTACTCTAATGGAATGAATACTATCAGTGAAGAAGATTTTGCCCACATTCTTCTACGGTATACTAATGTGGAAAATACAACGGTATTTTTGGAAAATGTGCGCTACAGTATACCCGAAGAAAAGGTATTTAGCCCCTTATGTTTATTTTGCTACATCCATTATTTTGAAACATGTTATCTACAAAGTGGCATTTTGTATAGATTTATTAAATGATTTTATTAATCTAGCTCCTCTGTGAATTAAAAACTATTTTTGGATATATTTCATTCTTTCCCTCTGTATTCCAACGACTGTTAATTTTGAATTAAAATAGAGATCAATATTCCTAGATATACTAAAAAATCTTTAAGACTTTGTTTTTCAAATTTTAACTATTATTATTTTCTGAAAGAATTCTGGTGAGTTAGGTGTTTTGACTAGTACCAAAACATGTAAGGCAGCTGATATTGACATTATTTCTGTCACCCTCTGTTCATTTGTATAGCACCTCTAACAAAAGGTCATTTGAAAAGTGCCATTGATGAGTGAGTGATCTTATCTGCATTTGAAGTGAGGCTTTTCAACAAGTTTGGATGCCATGAATGGTTAAGAACCCAGGACAACCCCTTGTGTATTTGCTTGGTAGCCAATGTGGTGTCAGGCCTTTTGAGCAGTTGCATTATCTAGTGGCATTTGAATGCTTCATTGCAACCAAATAGAAACTGCTGTCACAAGTGTCCCTTTAAGCCTGGGATGTTTGGGATCTATTGCCTTCTGTTTGTTTATGGAAGGATCAGGTTAAACTGTTCAAGAAAACTTGCAAATAGTTTGAGTTTGTTTAGAGTAGACACTGTGACAGTTTTAACAACTCTCAGACTGCCCTAAGGAATGAGGGGACCAAAAAAAAAAAAAGGCTTGATGCATTTAGCTATTACTTTACATTATCTTTTAATAAAAGAACTTTTATCTGTTTTACCCACTATGCTGGATTTTCCTAACTAGTAGATAATTCCCTTGAAATAAAAATTATATATTATGCTATTCAAGCTATATAATGTTATACATGGCTTTTAATCTATAAAACGAACTCTGAAGGTCAAATTACAGGATGACTTTATAGAAACTTTTCATAGTTTTTTAAAAATAATTTTTATATCTAAACTTATTTGAAAATAAAAACATCTAAAGTTAAATTCAGTTTTTCCACAAGACTAATTTGTAGACATATCTCTACAGTTATTATCGTATGGTGATTGCTTGTTCTGGATTGTTTCATCATCTCACAGAACAACCTTGCAGGCATTGGCATATTTCTTTTGGAAAAGTAAGGACTTTGGATACTTGTCCACTCAAACCCAAGTCTGTAAGCAAGTGATTCTTGTACTGTCCTCTACTTCAATCTTTCCCTTCCATCCACTGCTCATCCTTTTTGCCCCAGTAACAGAAAAGAAGGAAAAGCTGATACCTGGATGGCACTTAACATTTCCAAACTAATTTCATTTTCATTCACAGATATTAAATAAGAGGCCTTATTACAGGCACAAATGGTAAAATGACAAGATAGGCAAATTCTCCTTCAATAGGAATATATTTTACTAGAAAAACAAAATAAGTAAGCACAAAGAGATACTTTCAGGTGAAGATAAAGGCTATGAAAAGAACCAAGAATATAGATACTGAAGAAAGACAACAGGCTGGTAGAGTTCTTCAGAAGGAGCTTTGAACAGAGCCTTATGTAATGGGCTGTGCAAACAGTCTGACAGCTGGGGAACCAGCATAGGTGCAAACCAGGCCCCCTGAACATGGGTGTCAGTTAGGAGGCCTGGGAAGTCTATGGGGCCTCTGACAGTGGAGCAGTATTTATCCCTAGTGCATGGACTTTGGGAGCCCATTCCCTATGGAGGGATACTCTCTCAGCCTAGATACATGGGGGAACGCCTAGACCCTGACCCCAAATAATGTGACAGCCTTTGATGACCCCCCATGGGTGGCCTCACCCTCCCTGGAGAGTGGATGAGGGGTGGGATGGAGCGATGGTAGGGGGAATGGGAGGATAAGAGGGAGAGGGAACTGGGATCAGTATGTAAAGTAAGATTGCTTTTAATTTAAGGAAAAATGCTTTAAAAAATCAGATGAAGAGTATTAAACAGGAGAACAATAAATGGTAAGGGCCTGGGGACAGAACAAGCTTAATTTATTTGAGAAAATACTTTGATATTTCATAAATAACCAGGAAAACAGTGGGTGGTGAGAAGTGAGAATTGGATACATGTCAATTCTGATAGAACTCAGAAGACCAAAAGAAGTAGGGGGCTTAGGTGTAATTTTCATGGTGATACTAGGAATGATAGAAAGCTGTCACCATGCTTGAATTTCAAAGTTGAGGTCTGGAAAATTACCTTCCTCATTAGTTCCCTGGACACCCAGCACTGCCTTCTCAATGCTCCTCTTCACTTACCCTGCCGTCAAAGCCAGGATTTGGGAAGCTGGAACTGTTGGCTCTCTGATCTTTTGATTTTTCCCTGCGTATTTCTCAATTATTTAAATTTTGTTGATTACATCTAAACCTGAGATACTTATTCTTATTTCAAATAATGTTCCTATTTAACTGAAGTAACACCAATAATAGAACTACAGCCTATGAACCATCCCAAAGCAGGTTGTTCTGAATAAACACAGTCCTTCAAAGTCTTTGGTGCCATCTGCAGTCACTGCACTTCCCCCTGGTGTCTTTGAATGACTGAACAAGTTCAATAAGTGACAGTTGACGCTTAGTCAACATCTTGATTTTTGTATTGTCATTATAAACATATTGATGACCTGATGCTGAATCATGTGAAAGGATAAATATGCAAAGCAAATGTTTTTATGGGTTTAAGACAAGGTGTTTAGAGAATTATCATAATTGGAACTTTTCCAGCTATTTTAATTGAAGTACTTTTTGAAACTTGATGTTGACAGGACAGTGTCTTCAGTTTACTGTTACCAGAATAGTAGTGCTACCCAATAGAAATATGTCTGAGTGAGTCCTACTGTTTAGTTAGAAAAATATCTGCAAGTATTTTTCAGATCCTAATATTTCCCCCTATTAAATGTGTTACAATTAATTTAATATATTTGTCAATACTAATTGTTTCACATTTATTTTCCCAAAATAGGGCATCACGTTTGATGAGTTCCGGTCATTTTTCCAATTTCTGAACAACTTAGAAGACTTTGCAATAGCTCTCAATATGTATAACTTTGCAAGCCGTTCCATAGGACAAGGTAAGCAATCATTCTTCAAAATTTTAAAGTCAAGACATCTCTACCTTGTTCCTAGAGACTATGGAAAGAGGCTAGTGAGATATGTTTGATCATGCATCAGCTTACCTGAAAGTCTAGTTTTATAATTTCTGTGGGAAATCAGTCTAAAACTCAAAAGTATGCATAGTCTAGGGAAATATGCTGATTTCTTACTGGGCTTATTTTTGACCTTTAATTTCACATAATGAGGAAAAACTAATAATGTTTATTGTAAAGGGTCTAAGAAGAAACCTTGTGGCTACTTGGTAACATCAGGGAACACATGGCAGCCTGTGACAAATTCTCACTGATCTTTGCCTAATCAGAAACCAGAAATACGTGAGCATAGCCACTTAATAACTTACATTAACCAGTTTTTGAGACTGATATAAAATTGATTATCTTTTTTTTAATTTACAAAGAAACACATCTGTCATATAACTTCAAATACTGGTGTCTTCAGGATCTTCTCACTCTTTGCTCATGGGTTGACTAAAATGCCAAATCCTTTTCCTAGGATTCTCTTCCTTCTAACCATATCCTTATAAAAACTTCTTGCTGTGTAGGGCATGATTGTGTCTTTAAGGCAATTTTATCTGCCTCTGCCAGAATCTAATAGGTTAGACTCAAAGTATAGTCTTGAGTTTTTAATCTCAGATTCTAGTGAAAAGCCATACTACAGCCACCAAATATTGATAATAATTACTTCTGTGAAAACTGTAGAAGGGGTAGGAGCATTGAATCATGAGGGCCTGGATTCAAACCCCCAGCTTCAACACTCAACACTCACATGTTATGTCTGTTGTATAGCCTCATTTTATTCACTGAATTAGAGGCATGTCTCCACAAATGATGTATGTTATCACAAATTATTTATATATATGTATATATATGTCTCCACAAATGATATATGGTATATTTAAATCACATATTATATAAATATATTTTATATAGCATATCTTACTGGAATAATAGATCCTTTAAAAAGAAATTAGTATCAGATTATTTAGTTCAGATCTGAAAGGTGCTTTATTATTTCCTGGAACTAGAAAATAGGAAAATTTTTATTGTGTCACTCTTTCAAACGTTGGAATAATATCTTTTCCTTTGCTGGAAAACTGTTCAAGTTTCCCAAATGCCTGTTGGGAGAGTGTACAGGTTCCTGACCTCACCGTCTATCCAACACTGCCCCAGGTCCTCTGTCCTCCCTGTTCTACCTCACCAAGACTGCCCCTTGTCAGCATACTCTGTGGTCCTCTCCCTCACAGAAGTTTCTTCAGGTTCATCCGTGAAAATCATGTGCTATCTTCCATTATGGCTCATGTTTAGAGAACAACTTTTTACATCTTTTGTAGTAATTAACATCATAGACTAAAAAAAGATACTGCTTTTTCTTTTTTGTGTATGACATTTATCTAGATGAATTTAAACGTGCTGTCTATGTAGCTACTGGACTGAAACTTTCACCACATTTGGTGAACACCATATTCAAGATTTTCGATGTTGACAAAGATGACCAATTAAGTTATAAAGAGTTTATTGGAATTATGAAAGACAGACTCCATAGAGGATTCCGGGTAAGTCTGCAGATTTCAAACCTATTGATAATCCTTTTGAAAACTAAGTTCAAAAAGAATTTATGTAAAATTTTAAGGTTATAAACATGAAATGATTGTTTAGAAAACTAAGATGATGTAGGCCTTACCACCTTTCAAAAACAATGCAAGGTGATAAAAGATAATTTTAAAAATACAAATATATAATAAATTTGATTTATAATTCTTTTTTCAGCGTTTTTCGGGGTTGTTTGGAGCTTTTGGGGGAGACTGGGTTTTTGGGGGACCTTGGGGGGCTCAAGACAGATTCTCTGTGTAGCCTTGGTTGTTCTGGAACTCATTCTGTAGACCAGGCTGACCCTGAACTCATAGAGATGTACCTTCCTCTGCCTTCTGAGTGCTGGGATTAAAAGAGTGTGCCACCACTGCCCACTTAATTCATCGTTGTATTCAATTAAGGGAATGTCTTTTTTGCTGTTTTGGGGGGAGGGTATTGCCATTTGTTGTTGTTGTTTTCAATGTGATCTTCTCATTGGCTTTCAGACTTGGTTGTAAATAAGGAAACATAACTGTTCCGTGTTGCACATTGAATGTTTCCTTTAGGAAACTGAGGCTCTTAAGTCACTGCATATACATTCCTATAAAATAAAGTCAAAATAATTTTTCCTGAACTATTTTCCCATTGACATATTAAAAAGTAATAGGAGATAATCTTCCCTTTTCTAAATATCACTTTTTAAAATTTCAGCCCCATAATATGGCTTAGTAAATGTTTACACAAGTTAAATACATAATGGACATTCCAGAAATAGATGAGGAAAAAAAATCCCTTTAAAACTAGCAGCTTGTAGTCTTCTTTCTGTGTCGGGGATAAACATTTGAAGTAGAAGAATTCACATATAGAAAAAAGAAAGATTATCATCTTGGACATTTGTAATTCAAAGATTTGTTTTATGACTTTCAGCCTGAACTGTCTGGGAGAAGATGCTGTTGTACATAAGTGCCACCTAGTGGTAGCTTGTTAACATTTCACATGTAGCTTCAGACACTTGTAAGGCTGTACCTAGGAATCCATTTATTTCTTCTCAAAAATAACAGGGTTTAATTTAGTATGAACGACACTGCTCATTCGAAAACTTTGGGCGTGGTTTTCCCTCTAAGTACGATGAGTCTCACTTCTGTTGATCATGCTTTGTGTACTTCTGCTCCCACAGTGTCTTACTAGTATTTGCACACTTGTTACATGAGTACATTGTGGAGTGGTTATCTTAATCTGATTGATATAATCTCGTACTTCTTTGTAGTGTGAGGCATTTAAATCTAGTCTAAGCAGTTTTGACATGCACATGGTTATTAGCTGTGGTCACCATTCTGTGCAAGTGGTCTTGGAGTGCTTTCCTTCTGTGTGACTAGAATTTGTACCTGTGCTTCCCTTCTTTCTGTGTCTGCAAATCCTCCCAGCCGCTGGAAACCATCATCCTGCTCTGTGTCCATAAGTTTGCCTTAGAGATTCAACATAGAAATTAAATTATATCAGATCTCCCTCACATACATTTGGACATTTGTAATCCTTTATTCCACAGGGTTATAAAACAGTCCAGAAGTATCCGACCTTCAAATCCTGCCTGAAAAAAGAACTTCATAGCAGATAAGTATGTTAACTTAGGGTTAGTCTACTTTTCCCATAATAAGTAAATAGACATATTTCTATTGCATCTAAACAATAGCTGGGAAGGGATTAGGACTAGGGCACAATGATAGAGCACATGTTAAGTCCCAGGTTCCATAAGAGAAGAAAATAGCTGAAAGAAATGTAATTATTACCTACAGGGGAGACAATGAGAGCATCCTGGTTTAAAAAGTGTGTGTTCGGGAGTGAGGACTTAGCTAGGTTGGTCACCGGGCATGCCTGAGGCCCTGGGTTTCATCTCCAGAACCACACGAACCCTCTTCCAACATTCAACATTGAAGGCAGAAGCAGGAGAATCCAAGGTCATCCTCAGCTACGTATCCCGTTCCAAGGCAAGCTGGGGTATGTGAGACACTATCTGAAGAAGCGAAAATGAAAGAAGGAATTTTTTATGTTAAGTGTACAGTTCTGTATCTGTTCAAGTACAATATAATAAATCTAAGCTATGCTTTATAATAGATCTTGAGCGTCTAGGGAGTTTGTGTTACTCTTTTCCAAGAGCATGGTTTTAAATTGTTGCCACAGAATGGCAGCTTTACTTTTAAAGAGTGCGTCTAGGTGTGTGGCACTATACTAAGCTGTGTTCTTATTTTAATTCTCACACATAGGTAAGTTTCTCACCCTTTTTTGCATTGCTCAGAATCAACGCTAGGGCCATGGGCATGCGAGGCAGCTGCTCTCCCACTGGTTCACATCCCTACTCTTGGTTTCTGTGGTCTTGAAGTCATGCTTCTATTTTAGACAGCTGTGCCCTGAGAAGTTCAGGAAGTCTGTCCTGGTTTTGTTTGAATCAAAGAAATATCTCAAGCTTGTTAACCTCCAGAAAGAAGATTGTTTTTGTTTTTATACATCAATAATAACTATAATTTTGGTCAGTCGTGTTAGGTTCCCAAGATGGAGGTTTTGCTGCTCCTTTAGGAATGAGTATATGTTCTTAGATGTATTCCTTACGATTTTCCTCAAGTTTGAATCCCTTGTTTCCCAAAGTGGTTCCTCACGGTGCTGGTAACAGTCTTTAAGAAGAAAAACAGAAATTTCTTTGTGTCTTTATATGTCCTGTGGCTATGATCAGATATTTCAGCAAAAGCCACTTAAGGGAGCAAGGGTTCACTCTGGCTCATAGTCTATGGTACTCAGTCCATCCTGTCGGGAAGGCAGCAAGAGCATGAAGCTGCTGGTCACTGCTCTTGCTCCATGGGGAAGCAGAGAGCAGTGACTGCATACTGCTGCTTACTGCCCTGTCCCCATTTATAAAGCTCAAAATCCAGTCAGAGTGGGGAATCACCCCACCTGACTCTGCAATATGCACAGCTCCCCACAACTGTGTTCAGAGGCTTGTCTGCCATGGCCATTGATTTCAGGTGCTGTCAAGCTGTCAACATAATCAACCATCAGCCTGGCACCTTGGAGAAATGTAAAAAAAATTATCAACTCTCACTATGCTACTATTTGTTTTTGTCTTTCTATGAGTGTTTTGTGAGGTAGCTTGGAGGCCGAGTATTACATGGAATGTGCTTTGGGCAATAGTGGTCCAAGACATTGAGAGACAAGCGGGCTTATTTTTCTCTTAATATATGCTTTCACTACTTGGGTCTTCCATACCTCTATTGTAAGAAATTGTGTACTGCCTTATGAAACAAGAACAATGCACTGAAAAATTAGTACTGTCGCATTTATACATTCCTGTGTATGGTGTTCCCATCTGACTTGAAGTAGCGTCACACGAACCGTGATGATATGTATTAGTGCATTGAACCACAACTCAAAATGATTACCTAAATCTATGCCTTTCTGAAACTGAGTACTAAAGAAGTTTCTTAACAAAATATGAAGTTGGGCCAGTGAGATGTCTTAGTGGATAAATGCCCAAACCTTGATGACTTGAATCGACATGATGGAGGATGATAATGGACTTCCACATATACACCATGGCACATTCAAATACTGTCCCATCACAAATATCAGTAAACAGATAAATAGTTTTTTAAAAGCTATGAACTTTCAAAGTGTTTTTTAAATACGTCATTCTTATATTTCATATGAATGGTTTTTAATTAGATACCTTACTGTTTTGCATAATTTTGTAAAAATTTTGCTTAATGTCATTACCTTGAGCTACATAAATATTGCTTTGGCATTGGTTTTTTTTAACTAGATCCTCCTAAAGCAAAGATGGAAGGATTATGATCTATGTGACAAGCATGAAACAAGTTTATGAGCGTGGATCCAAGTGTGAAGTCAGAGCATGCAGAAAAGAAAGGGAAAGGTGAAATACTATGAAATGACATTTTTTTCCTTGAACTGAGTTCATCAATGTAAAACAGAGGAAAATTGAATCTTCTAATTAGCCTGGGATTTGATCCCTAGAACCACCAAGAGAAAACTTACTGCTTTCACAGTGATTTGACTGAATTCTGAACTTTTTCATTCCCTTCACAAGTATTTGGGTAGTCCCGATGACTATCTGAGAATGTATTTAGATTGTTTATTTATTTATTAGAAATGTCCTTTATTTCAAAATAATTTATGCATCATAGAATTTAGATAACTTATAAACAAAAACACATTTTCTTATGGTTTGGACTATGAACCTGTTTTCAGACAGTGAATATTGCTTCCGATTTGTCTTAGGGCCCTTAGGTTTGTTAGTAAGTTCCTGTTATGTACCTTGTATTTAATTATACCGAAGTAGTTTCAGAAAACAAGTGAAAATTTACTAAATAATATGATGGTTTACATTGTACTTTCAACTTTTAAAAGTACTTATGTAATATACATTGTTGGATTTGTGTAAATTTTTGTTTGTTTTTGCTGTTTTTGTGTATTTTGTTTTTGTACCAAAGTCAACAGAATTTCAGGTATTTTATTTAAAAAAGCAATTTAGATTTTTTTTAAGAAAACATAGTGCTGATGTTAGAAGCCAGGACAGTGGTAGTAGTAATTACCATGGAGGGCACGAGGTGCTGCTCCTAATTGCAAGCAGACTATATGGAAATAATATTAGTAACATATTGGATATTGTTAAAACTATGTGTGTAGCATCCAAACTAATATAAATGATTTAGAAGTTTGATGTATATTTAATAGGTAGAAGATAAATTTTTGTTTCTTGCAAAAGGACCACATGCAAAATTGATCCAAACAGCCAGCAGTGATGAGCCATTTGTGTATAACTCTTTATATTGAAACAATGTCTTAAAACTTTCTTCACTTGAGAGACTGGCCAGAAAGGTCGCAACTCAAGACCTGCCTGGGCTCTGATGCATTTGGGCAACTTGGGCAATTTGGACAAATCCTGCTAAAAGTAAAAACTGCTGGGGCAGTAGCTCAGTGCCAGAGGGCTTGCCTATCATGTTTGAGGGCTCAGAGTTAATTCCCAACACCGCAAATTTAAAAAAAGAAAGAAAGAAGGAAAGATGAAAAAGAAATCCTAGATTTTCACATTGAAAAAGAATTTTAGAATACTTAATACAACTTTGACTACCTGATAAAATTGGTTTATACAAGGATATTATAAAATAAACAATGACTTTAAGTTAATATATTTATGTATTGCATGTATTATATATTATTAATGTAATACCTAAAATAGATTCATGTATCTTTTTCCATAAGACGTATTTTGTATAATTTGCATACACTCCAACCATTACTTTGCTTTTGCTTATGAAAATAGGAAACACTGGCTTTATTTTTCTAAGTTATTGAATGTGAAATTGATCTGCATCAGCTTATTTATAAAATTATTGTTATTTCAGTGTTAATTGTATTGTTTTGTGTTTTTTAGACTTTTCCACATTCTTTGTCTGGTATTATTTATTGTACCAATATAGAAATATACATGTGCAAATATAGTATAATATACTTATTTAATTTCACCTGCTTTGAAATTTTAGTCATTTCATGTATACACAGAGATGCTTAGCTGCGTATTTATCATGCCTCAGGCCTAGAATGTTCTCAGTAGTACATGGAATGTAAAATAATTGAAAAAATACAAATTAATTTTGGCTATAAGTTATATTATCACATATAAATGGAAGCCTTGTTAATGTGGATTAAAATTAAATAACCTATTTAAAGATCCTTTATAAGTCTTGTCATTGTCCCAAGGGCGTAATACCCATAATGTAAGCATAGTCACTATTCTCTATTGCTTTATTATAAGTGGGTCTGTTTGTAAGGTGGAAAGATAATATAAAAATAAAAATAAATAAGATATTCTGATGAATTAATATGGTAAGAGAATAGTGAATTACAATGTTTCCATCTGTATCACTCTTAATCTTTTTTGTCTGTAAAATAGAGGTAAAAATAATAGCAGCTGAAATATTTTGAATGTTTTGCAAAAAATGCACTAAATACACATATGTTAACTTCAAAATTTCCCTCTACAAATTATATAAATTTCACAAATACTAAACCCTACAAAAATTTTAGTATTGTGCTTCTTAAAAAAATTCTACATGATAAATGATACTCAGTACTTCTCAGAATAGTCAATAATAAATTGTTTTAGCTTAAAGTCTGCTTGTTAATATAAATCTTAATTGTAAAGCTACAATTGTTATGTTATCTTAAAATAAATGTACCTCCTTTGAACCAAGAAACACTGTAGTTTGCTATTGTGTATATTAGTGAACTAATTTCTGAAAATATCACTTCCTAACTTTGGAAATCTTTATGGGTTACCGTTGATCTTAAACCCACCTCCCTGTTACATGCCATCACACTGAACTCATGAATACCACTGTAGATAAATAAACCACAGAGTCTTGGAACCTTTCCCAAGGTGTTTCAGAGAGATCCCTGTCTCATAGAAAGATTTCAGAAAATTTATATGTGACTTAATGCAGTGTCTATTTTGTTTCACAGAACTAATCATTTATATGGCTTAAAATAAAGCCAAAACTGCCTGGTGGTGGTGGTGCATGCCTTTAATCCCAGCACTCGGGAGGCAGAGGCAGGTGGATCTCTGTGAGTTCAAGGCTGGGCTTGACCGACAGCCTTCAAAACAATACAGAGAAACCCTGCCTCGTAAAAACCAAAAACAAACAAACAAACAAACAAAAATGAAGCCAAAACTATAGTAGCCCATGTTACCAGTGTTGTTACTTTATAGGAGTTTTCTTGTTAAGAGACCACCTAGAAATTACGTTTTTAAAAGTGTGTTAATAATTATCTTTCTCTTATGTTTTAGTTTGGCTTGGTTTTAGTTTAATTAAAAAACCTCACTATGTAGCCAAGGGTGGTATCTTAGTTAGGGTTTCTATTGCAATGAAGAGACACTATGACCACAGCAGCTCTTATAAGGGAAAATCATTTCATTAGGCTGGCTTACATTTTCAGAGGTTTAGTCCATTATCATCAGGATATGGTGGCATGCGGGCAGACATGGCCCTGGCAAAGTAGCCGACTGTCATACATCTTGACTTGCAGATAACAGGAAGTGGTCTGTCTCCCTGGATGTGGCTTGAGCATATATGAAACTTCAAAGCCCACCTCCACAATGACACACTTCCTTCAGAAAGACCACACCTATTCCAACAAGGCCACACCTCCTAATGCCACTCCCTTTGACATGGTGCTGGCTACATCTCCAATAGGAAGTGGTCTGTCTCCTTGGGTGTGGCTTGAGCATATATGAGACCTCTAAGCCCACCTCCACAGTGACACACTTCCTCCAACAAGACCACATCTACCCCAACAAAGCCACACCTCCTAATAGTGCCACTCCCTTTGGGGCCATTTTCTGTTAAAACCACCACAGATGGACACAAATTCCTTGGCTCAAGCAGTCTTCTGACCTCAGCCTCCTGAGTTCTTGGAACTTAGGTGTGTGTCACCACACCTCAACCACTTCTGCTATCAGCAAATAAAGAGTCTAAACTCGATTGTGCTTGCGTTCCCAAGAGATGCAAAACTGTGAATAATATAATATCCAGTAAATAAAAATCATAAGTAATAAAGTATTATATTTTTATTTTATGAGCAACATTTTTACTTTCTTAGCAGCTCATGAAATAATAACTTATCCTGCAGTGTCACATGTCATATTCTTTGAAATATCATCTTTGTAATTAATTGTCTTTGTATTATAAAAATATTTAGACATCTCAAAAATAAGAACATGCCAATAATTGTAACTTTATACATGTAAGTTTGCAATGTTTGTAGAACATAAAAGGGTTACTATGAAATTTACCTTGCAAGGATAATTTTGACCACTTTGTGAAAGGCAAGAAGGACACATGCTAATGAGAAATAGGGTACCTGGAAAAGGAATCTGACTGGGGAGATATTTTTACAAAAATTAGGACTGAGTAACAAGAAAAGTAATTTTAAGTACATGCACATAAGGGTAAAAAAATGACATGTGTTTTCACGTGAGTTCCAGATGGCAAAGATGGTTTTGTAGTATGTAGTACTCATGAGTATGTAGGGTGGTTTGGCGCCCTTTACCAGTGTTGGTGAAGCTGTCTGAATGAAACAAAATTGCTACCCTGAGTTTTACCTCTGCACCACAGTACCCCAGTGCATACACTCGCAGTTTATACTGGCAAATCTGTGGTTTCAGTGAAATGGTGTGTCATGGAAAAATAGGAAGTTTATTTATGGTGTCAATAAGACATGGTCTGCAAGACATTTATATGAGAACACAGAGGGGTTTAAAATGTGTACTCTGCTACTGTTGTGCTCAAAATATATTTGCATTACATAGTACTGTATTGTAATTTATTCATTATATCAGCGGTGTTCAACCTGTGAGTCATGACCCCTGTCACAGGGGTCACCTATGACCAGCTGAAAACACAGATATTTACATTACGATTCCAAAATTACAGTTACGAATTAGCAATGAAAATAAATTTATGGTTGGAGTCACCACAACATGAACTGTGTTAAAAGGTCTCAGCATTAGGAAGGTTGAGAACCACTGCATTGTATGTATACATTTTAAAAGCAAAAGAGCTATAAAGACTTATTTTTAGGCTGGGCGGTGGTGGTGCACGCCTTTAATCCCAGCACTCGGGAGGCAGAGGCAGGCGGATCTCTGTGAGTTCGAGGCCGGGCTGGACCGATAGCCTCCGAAACAATACAGAGAAACCCTGTCTTGTAAAAACAAAAAAAAAAACAAAAAAAAACTTATTTTTAGTCAAAATTATCAATTTTCTCCATTTTGGTTTGCTAAAAAATGTATGTACCTCATTTGCCTGTCACTAATTCATTCTAGATTCATCTCTAAAACTGTGTGTACTGCAAATGAATTTGAACACTTCTGGCAATATGTAAGCCCTTTATTTTTCTGGGCATCTCTTCTGACACTCTCCATCTCACTGGCCCATCTAGGGTAGCCTCTCTCACCTGGTGCAGAAGTGTCATTTTGGGACCCCCATCTCCTGGACATCCTTTGCTCTTCTCTTTATTCTACCTTCAAGGCTGGGGAATAGTCTATCCAGAGGTAGCAGTCTAGAATGGCGGGCACACTCACCTTTCCCTCCAGACTGTGAAAGTCTTGCCCCGGTGTGTTCCAGCTTCCAGTGCTATTCTCAAGAAGTTCCGTGTCATTTGGATGCCTCACCTGTTTTCCTTCCCTCTTGGAAGCTGCAGTCTTTTTCTAATCCCTCTTCTTATAACGCTCCCTGCTGCCCCTTGATACGGGTCTTTTGCCCGTTGTTGGTGATGGGCACAGTAGCGTTTCATAGCATCCAGTCTGGAAAGGGAATTTTTGAAGTATTTTGAGAATGTCCTCTTCTTTTCTCTTCTCTGCCTATTTTTCCTGAAATATCCATTATTCAGACACTGTACCTTCTGTACTCAACCTGTAACCTTTCCCTTGCTACTGCTCACCTCCTTATCTCCCCGTGATACCTTGTTGTCTTTATCCTCTTTATATTTTTTAATTCTGCCACTTAAGTTCTGAATTTTTCTGTCTTCTATTTTTGCGTCATATAGTATATTACTTTTTTCTAATTGTCTAATATTAGTTTCTTTGATGTTTTCTCCTACTTCTTTTATTGCCTCATTCTTTTGTGTGCATTTGTGTGCTGGGCCTCTCATCTTACGGGGTTTTGTTCCATATCTAATAGTCCTTTGCTGTATGCTTGTATTTTACAACACATTCGAGTCTGTGTGTGGATAGGATGAGGTTTGACAGATGGATTTCCCGTTCTGCTCTCTGGCCAGCCTCCTTGCCTAGGAAGCCCCTTACCATCAGCACTGACAGGTCTTTTCTCTGGCCAGCTAGGATTCTGCCAGCTCATTCAAAGCTTCCATTTTGAGTTTGCTCAGAGCTAAACACGAAAAAAAGAGATCCCAGTCGTCCCCTCTCCCCCTTCTTCCTCAGAGCTTTTCCATCTGTTCAGACTCCTTTGGAAGCTTTGCAGGGTTCTCTTCTGGTGTATGTTGGGGAGGAGAAAAAGGGGAAAGGCAGGGAAGACCCTGAAACCTAAATGGTTCCTAAACAGCATTCCAGCCAGCCATGCGTTTATAGCGCAAGCTTTGGCAGTACCGCGATCCTTCATCTCACGCTTTGGGGAGCTCAGCTGTGGGAACCCACCTGTCTCAGAGTCCTCCCCTATTACAGGCATTTGCATTCTTTTGATCTGAAATTAAAAATTAATAAACCATGTCCCTGTGTTACCATTTCCAGCTTTCTTGTCCATAAAGAATACTTTTAAAAATCAGTTTTTATTGTTATTTTAGTATCATTTCAAGGAATAGCAAAAATATATGTTCAAAATGACATAGAGTGTTTAAACTCCATGTTCTGAATATATCTGGAAATATATGAGAATCATAAAAATGCTTATCTTTGAATATGTGAATTTCTGTTATGCTGCTGAACTATATTTGGATATTTTAACATGACTACACTTACTTTTTTGGAAGGTGTATTATTTCCTACTTTACATGTAAGATTGTTTACCTGTATGTACGTGTGCCACCACGTGTGTACCTGCTGCCCTGAAAGCCCAAACCCTGGAGTCAGGATCCATGGAACTAGAGTCACACTTAGTTGTGTGTCTCCACACAGATGCTCAGAACCAAGCCTGGGTCCGCTGCAAGAGCATTACCTGCTGTGAAACACTGAACTCTACCTCGACAGCCTCGTATTTAGTTTACTGTTGATTATGTGTGGACATGGGGGAACCCACAGATTCCAGAAAAGGGTAGCAGACCCCCTAATGCTGAACCTAAAGGCAGTTGTGAGCTATCATGAGTGCTGAGAACCACTCCCAGGTCCCCTGTGAGATCAGTCCATGTTGTTACTCACGTTATTTATACATCAAGGCAAGCGAAGTCTTCGGAGCTTAGCATCTTGGCTGGATGGTTATTTTTAATCACATGTATTTGTAAAACACTAAACTTGATGGCGACTGTACTTGAACATAGCGTTTCTGTAGGAATATTGCCAGACAAGCAGCTCAAAGCATGCAGGTAGAGGGAGCAGATAGCTTAAATGTAAACAGATTAATATGAGAGCAGGTTTAAACCAGGTAAAATGAGAGCTTAGGACAGAGTGGAAGACAATGAAAATAGCCACTCCATGCCATATATCTCTAGGTGTACAATGCAAGTTAAAAGTTCAAGCTGAAAACCTAAAAAT